AATATTCTTCTAAAGGACCCTTTCCAGCTTTATGATTCTGTATTTAATATTGATGAATAGGTAAAATTTCCAAATTTTACAAAAGAGTGAGAAAGAGAGAATATCCCTCTTTAAACTAAATTGTATTCTTGGTCTAACTTCAAAGGTATTCATAAAACCAGGGGAAGCAAAAACCAATAATAATTAGATTTGTTTAGACATAACAACATGAATTCAGTATGTTAAGTATTACAGTTAAATATGTGAAATATTTCAGGATATTAAAGCACCCTTAATAGGAGAGATTAAACAATTAGTTCTAAAATGCTATGAAATATCACTAATCTGTTCATAAAATTGACTTCCTGTTCTTGTTATAAACTGAGATAGTACTTTTGGAACAAGATTTCTTTAGTACTTTTAGTACTAAAATCTATTAATTTGACTAGTTTCCTATATTAATATTTTTAGGAATGTTTTAATTCTCACATAAGAACTCTTCATACCAGGTGAAGTAGAATATTGATTAGTAGTTCAGTAAAATGTCCTTTTGATTCATTTTGTAATATATTTATACATGCAGGGGACGATACACCAAATACTGGAAAATGCTCTCCTTCCTTTCTGCTGTCCACCAGTTCAACCACGATTCTAGGAGTCTCTCACTTAACATCACTCTGGGTTATAGTATCTATGAACATTATTTCAGTGAGCAGATTACTTTGGATGCTCTTCTGGACCTGCTTTCAGATGGAGAGGCCAATGTTCCCAACTACAGATGTGGGAAGCAGAAAAACACACTCGCCGTTCTTGAAGGGGCCAACGCTGACCTCTCCATCCTTATTTCAAACATGTTGGGCACCTACAAAGTCCCACAGGTATTTATTTACTGAAAGGACAATATTTAGCCATAGAAATTTAAATTCAAGAGCAGAGTTTTATCAGGACTGAAGAAGCTTCTTGGATGAGAAGCAAAGCATCTTTAAGGAAAAACGAAGTCCAGTTGCCTTTGGGATCGTCCCTTTTGCTGTGGTCCCAATCCAGATATGAGGACTCTTCTGACACCTTGGACCAGCAAAATGGTGCACTTAGGAAGCAAGTGGAAAGAAAAGCAATACCTGAGTAGAGAAGTAAAGTCACCACCAAAGGATCTTTATTTCAGAAGTCTTCAATGGGAAGAGAATTGCTATTTGAGGGCTGTTGTTGTTGTTAGTTGCAAAGTCATGTCCGACCCATCGCGACCCCATGGACAACGTTCCTCCAGGCCATCCTCTGGAGTCCACTTAAGCTCATGCTGACTGCTTCAGTGACTCCATCCAGCCACCTCATTCTCTGTCGGCCCTTTCTTCTTTTGCCCTCAATCTTTCCTAGCATTAGGCTCTTCTCTTCTCATTAGGTGGCCAAAGTATTTGAGTTACATCTTCAGGATCTGGACTTCTAAAGAGCCATCAGGGTTGATCTCCTCTAGGACTGACCGGTTTGATTGCCTTGCAGTCCAAGGGACTCGCAGGAATCTTCTCCAGCACCATAGTTCAGAGGCCTCAATTCTTTGACTCTCAGCCTTTCTTATGGTCCAATTTTCACAGCCATACATTGCAACTGGGAAAACCATAGCCTTGACTATACGCACTTTTCTTGGCAGGGTGATGTCTCTGCTTCTTAGTAAGCTATCTTGATTTGCCATAGCTTTCCTCCCCAGGAACAAGCATCTTTTAATTTCTTGGCTGCAGTCCCCAGCTGCAATGATCTTGGAGCCTAGGAAAATAAAATCTGTCCCTACCTCCATTTTTTCCCCATCTATTTGCCAGGAAGGGCCGGATGCCATGAACTTAGTTTTCTTAATGTTGAATTTCAAACTAACTTTTGCATTCTCCTTCTTCACCCGCATCAAGTGGCTCTTTAGTTCCTCTTCGCTTTGTGCCATTAGAGTGGTATCATCTGCATATCCGAGGTTGTTGATATTTCTCCCGGCAATCTTAATTCCAACTTTTGATTCATCGAGCCCTGCCTTTCTCATGATGTGTTTTGCATATAAGTTAAATTGGGGGCTCTATGGGTCACTTAATAAGTCTGTCTTCCTTTTTCAGATCAGTTACAGTTTTGTTTCCCCAATTCTGAGGGATAAAACTCGGTTTCCTTTCTTCTACCCAATGCTCCCCTCTGAAGGGGTCCAGTACCCAGGGATGGTCAAACTGCTCCTCCATTTCAGGTGGACCTTGGTTGGCATGATGGCTCCAAACACGGACCAGGGGGAGAGGTTCATGAGGACAATGACTTCCATGCTGATCAAGAATGGCATTTGTCCAGTTTTAACTCAAGTGTTTTCCATAAAAGTCAGAAATTTGGTGTTGAATTTGGAACCATTTGCCAAGTGGACTCAAGTGAACGTCTTTCTTTACGGTGCAGAGATTAGTTCATTCCAAGTAGGAATATTCATTATGCACGTTATGCTTAAATATCTTGAAGAACCTGTTGCAGGAAAAGTCTGGATCATAGCAGCCTGCTGGGATCTCACTTGGGATTTCATGGAAAGTAGCATCTCCACCTTCCAAAACATTTGTGGGTTTTTTTCTTTTCTTGTGCAGACAAATAAAAGGGTGGCCTTTGGTGCTTTTAAGCAATTCCACTCCTCCATGAAACGCTTTATAGAGAAATCCTTTACGTGTTCCTCCATCAAGGATGTCTTGTCTGTGAAAGTCTGGAGACAGTGCAGGGAAAGAGAAGAACTGGAGCTACTATCCCAGGGAGACATGCAACAAATCCTGTCTCTTGACAGCTTTTTCACTTACAACATAATCTGGGCTGTGGGGCTGGCCTTGCATTCAGCCTATTTCTCCAGGTCCAAGCGGCCAATGAGAAGCAGTGGTGAGAACCTGGGAGCTTCAAGGCTGAAGGCTTGGCAGGTATTTTGGTGCACAACTCAGTTCCAAAGCATAAAGAGGGAGGGTTCTGCATCCAGGTTAACAAACATGTTTTCTGTCTGGAGTAAACCAAAGGCTGGAAAGTGAAGGAGAAAACTCATGACTGGTTCAAAGTCTATGGAAATTCTCAATCGTCCAGGTTTTTTATTATTATTATTTACTTTATTCATTAAACATAAAACTCAGTCAACTGAACATTCAAAAATGCATCACAAATATCATTGACTGGTGCTAATGGTTGATACGGGTTGCTGCCAGCATCCTAGGAATCCACCAAGTATCTTCTTAAGATCTACGATGTTCCAAGTAGCACAGTTTTTTGCAGTTCTGCTGGTGTTATTGCAGGAAGCTGCAATTTGTTGATGTATATTATTATTATTATTATTATTATTATTATTATTATTATTATTATTATTATTTGTTAATCTTTAGTGAGATTCACAGCCTTTGAGGCTGGTTAATAGCTCAGCAGTTCGAGTCCTAACCAAGGACCTAGGAACTCTTAAGGTATCGTCGGAGGATGTAAGCTGTTCCGAGTAAGGTGGTTTTTTGTAGAATCAAAATGTTCAAGTCCGGCAAATTTAGAATTTCTAAATAGCAGGGTAGCCCTTTGGGTATTGCTCCAAGGGCTTCAATTACAATTGGGACAAAACACAATTTCTTTTTCCACAGTCGCTCAACTTCAATTTGCAAGTCCCCGTACTTTGTGATTTTTTCTTGCTGCTTATCTTCAATCCGTGCATCACCAGGTATTGCAATGTCAATGAACCATACATTTTTCTTTTCAACTATTGTTATGTCAGGTGTGTTGTGGACCAAGTGCCTGTCAGTCTGAATCCTAAAGTCCCACAAGATCTTGAGTTTCTCATTCTCTAAAACTTTCTCAACCTGATGTTCCCAATGGTTTTTGCTGTATTCAAATCCAAACTTCTGGCACAATTTCCAGTGAATGATCTTAGCAACACGGTCATGGCGTTGTAGGTAGTCAGTTTGTGAAATTTTGCTGCACCCACTGATCAGGTGATCGACTGTCTCATCTTTCTCATTGCAGAGGCGGCATTTGCTGTTGGTGGTAACATGTTGAATTTTTGCCTTCATGCAGTTTGTGGCTAGGGCTTGTTCTTGAGCTGCCAAAATAAAGCTTTCTGTTTCTTTTTTTCAGTACTCCTGATCTTAACCAGTTCCAATTAGTTTCTGGTCAGCTTTGCCTTTTCAAGTATTGAAAAGTATTGTAGTAATTATTATTATTATTAAATTTTATTTATTTATTTATTTATTATTAAATTTATTATTAAATTATTATTAAATATTATTATTAAATTAAATATTATTATTAAAAGTTATTATTATTGTTGTTGTTATTGTTGTTGTTGTTGTTGTTGTTGTTATTATTATTATCATCATCATCATCATCATATGGAGTTGTTACAGTAGTCAGGAGACCAGCAATGCTATTGCAAGAGTAGTAGTTTGGCTTGCCAAGATATCAGCCTTGTTGTAGGAAATACTTGTGCATTTCCAAGATGTGACATGGAGGGGCGACCTGGCTTCGTACCATGGAGAAAGATGAGCGGCTCTTACTGCAGCATCACCCAAGGCTCCTTCCTTCCTGGAGCTTCCTCGCAAATGGGTGACAGAACTGGGAAGATTCAGAGCCATCAGGAATTTAACTGCCTACATAGTGCACCAGAGTGGTACCTATCTATCTGCTAGTCTCTGGATTTCAGTCTGGAAAAAACAGGGAGAAAAGAGGGAGTCAAGACTAAGAGTCAGAAAGGAAATAGTTGGGCTGTCTTTTTTCCTAGCCAGAACAAAAGAGTGGAAAGACAAATGCTAAATGAATGTTGAAAGTCCCGTTTGCACAGTTTACTTTGTTTGCATTTATTTAGGCAAAAAATTAGTTGCATGGTTCAAATATTTACAGTTTCTGCCCTGAAGGAGTAAATAAATCTAGAACCTGGGCTTTGTGAAGAGAAATATTCAGTTCTCCCATAGGGCAAACCTTCTGGTTTCCTCTCCAAATATTCCCCATTTCTCTTCCTTTCCAGTTTCATGCTTTCCTTCAAACCCCCCAGTTTTATAATCATTCCATTGATGGGGTATATTTTGATGAGAATGGAGAGCCGGCTGTTGACTTGGACATTGTGAACTGGATGGTTTACACCAACAATTCCGTCACCAGGATGAAATCCGGGCATCTAGAAAGGCAGGGAATCCAGGGTTCCAAACTGGTGATCCACCAGAACAAGATTGCTCAGATGGAAAAGATGAACAAGGTGAAGAAACCTCTTTATTTCACGCTTCCTGTCAGTCTCCTAATGGGGTGATGGCGGCTTGAAGGACTGCCGATTTCACTTCAGAAATTTGGTCTTTTTCTTGACCTTTCCTCGAGGAAGTTGGTATCTAAACTTATCTAATTCTAGAACTTGTGTGTGTTCTCGTCTTTAGATGGGAGGATACAGTATGTTGCCGAGTAGCCTGCAAGTTATTCTTTAGATGAGGATGCAGATCCTTTTCTACTTTTCTTAAAATAAATTCATTCCTGGATTTTTTTTCCTCTCCCTCTCCAGCCGCTGCCTCCTTCAAGGTGTGTGGAAAGTTGCCATCCCGGATTCAGGAAGGTAGCTCAGGAAGGGAGGCCCATCTGCTGCTATGACTGCATTCCTTGTGCAGAAGGAACCATCTCCACCCAGGAAGGTGGGTGACATTGGGGACGTCAGATAGGCAGATGTTCTTTAATATAATTTTAAAGGTATCACTGCAAGATGTAAGCTGTTTCAAGTAAAGCTGCCATTTGCAATTGACTGATTGTGATTTTGTCAATGCCGATAATATTCAAGTGGTCAAATCCAGATGTTTTGGGATTATACCCAAGACGCTGATTACTATTGGTACTATTTTTGTTTTCTTTTACCACAGTTTTTGTGTTTCTATTTGCAGGTCTTTATATGTTGTGATTGTCTCCCATTTCCCTTCTTCTGTTCTGCTATACTGCAGCATCTGTTATCCAGACTTTTTGTCTTTCTTATCAACAATTGTTAAGTCTGGGTTATGTGGCAGATGGTTATCGGCTTGAATTCTAAACTTCCAGAGCACGTTAGCGTCTTCATTTTATATTTCTACTTTCTCCATTTTAGAAATGGTATTTCTTGCAGATCTTCCAATTTACCATTGTTGCTGTTTTGTCATGCCGTTGTTGGTAGTCAATCTGGATGATCTTCTTGCAGCAGCTAACCAGGCAGTCCATTGTTTCTTCGGCTTCTTTACAGAGGAATCATTTGCTGTCTGTTGCTATTCCATAGATGCTTTTTCAGGAGGCAATTGGACTTCCTTGTTATTTCTTTGAAGATGTTTCGCTTCTCATCCAAGAAGCTTCTTCAGCTTTGACAGGATAGTGGGGAATGGAAGAATTTATATTCTGTCTGTTGCTATCTTCATAATTCTGGTTTTGAATTCACTTGTTTTTTAAGGATCCCTTGGGAGTTCGGCGGCATAGAAATGCGATAAATTAAATTAAATTAAGTTTTGTGCAGCCAGAATTAGCCTCTCTGTCTCTTCAAATGCCCTGCTCGCAACTAATGCTAGATATCTGCTTTGCCTCTGTGTGTGTGTGTGTGTGTGTGTGTCTATGTGTGTGTGTGTGTGTCTGTGTGTTCTGGCCATGCCTCTTTTCTATTCTTCCTTTGGTCTTTCTTGTAGGTCAGTTTGGTCTTTCAAATTACTTAGTAAGCCTTCGTGTGTACTAGCTTCAGTGCATCTTCTTCATCATTCTTCAGATAATCTTCCAAAGGACGTTTTTTTCTTCTTCAAGCATTTAGGATAGTATTCCATGCCCACCTATTCTCCTTTGTAAGTAGAGCCCGTCAATATTGCTGCATGAATGAAAGGCATGATTCATTGCCATTACTTTTTGTTCTTCCAATTGTTGGGGAAAAAATCTGGTCCGGTTCCAAGTCGGGAGAAAGGCGCTAGAAATAAAATGGAGGCTGACTGGAAAGAAGGACTCTGTTTATTGATGAGCAGAACTAACAACAGCATGTAGTTCTGGGGCAGCTGACAAATTGGTTTGATGAGTCCATGGATTTTTATAGGGTTCTGAGATGCTGCAGGGGGTTGTGCAATGCAGTCAGCCTTGTGCATTTTGCCTTTTGTTATTCTAATAGGGATGGGTTAATTCTATTATGTCCTAAAATTCCTGTCCCGTCCTTCTTAATCCTATTAGCTAGAGCTGATGCTGTTTTCTTTGTGAATAGATTAGCCCAGTCTTTCTTAATGGGTACAAAATATCCATCTCTAAAGACTTTGGGCATCTGCTGGAGGCTGTTTTGCTATGCAGGAAGACTGGGGGTCCTTTCTGCCTTTAAGAGCATGTTTCTTCATTTCTCCTTTGGAGAAATATAATATTCTGCCTCTTTTAATATTCCCCAAAATATTTCATTCTCAGCAGGTGCTTCCTACAATTCACCCTTGTGCCAATAATTATTTCTTTTTTAAAAAAAAAAACAGTTTTTATTAATTTATAATAAAGCGTACAAAGAAATTAAAAGAGTAAAGAGTGGGGGGGGGGAGGGAAGGGGAAAGAGAGGGAAAGAAAATGGAAAAAAGAAAAAAAGACATTGACTTCTGACTCCCTTTGGTGCAGTAGGATAAGGCATTAACATCAAACCTCAACTTTTTACTTTTACATAATAGTATAAACTAGCCATTTCTCTAACAACAAATCTATCTAATCGGTAAAATCCAAAATAAAAGTTTCATTTTTTTCCCACCTCAAGCACTAAGTCCAGAAGTGGTTTCCAGGTAGAAACAAAAGTATCTGTATTTTTTTTTCTTTGATCAAAACAGTCAATTTAGCTATCTCTGCTAACTCAATTTTTGCAGCCATTCATTCATTTCTTGCTGCTGTCAACATATATAATATCAAAGTTCTGTTTTGTTTTGTTTTTGCAACTTTATTATTTGCAGAGCTTCCTTGATTTTCCTTGCTTCTGGTGATTTTTCTTGAGCTGATATTTTTTTATCTTCTTGTTTTTCAGCGTCTTTTTTTTTAAATCTAGTTTAGCTCACTTATATCTGATTTTAGCATGCTGGTTTTATTTTCCAATCTGATCTTCCATTTGAGTTGTGCACCCTGCAGAGTTTGCCGCAGGGGTGGGTAGGGAATACCTGATCTAGCACTGGGAATTCTTCATCTTCATTCTTACTGCTTATCTGTCAACATTCATTGCTTCCTAATTTTATGCAAATAACAGTTTCAGTAAAAGGTGAAAAATCCAGCAGTAAGATGGACAATACTCTTGCTCTTTTCAGATTCAGAAAAATGCACCCCTTGTCCAGAAGACCAGCATCCAAATATCAGCAAAGATCGTTGTATTCCTAAGATTAAATCCTTCCTAAATTATAAAGACTATTTAGGGCTCATGCTAATTTCCATTGCCGTGTTCCTGTCTTTAACCACAGCCTTTGTCTTGGGAATCTTCATTAAATTCCTAGACACTCCAATCATCAAAGCCAACAACAGAGACCTTTCCTACATCCTCCTGGTCTCCCTCCTCCTTTCCTTCTTCACTTCCTTCCTCTTCATTGGCCAGCCAAGGAGAGCCACCTGCCTTCTCCGACAGATAACCTTCAGCATCATCTTCTCAGTCGCCATTTCTTCCATCTTGGCCAAAACAATCACGGTGGTGCTGGTTTTCTTGGCCACAAAACCAGGGAATAAAGTTCAGAAATGGCTGGGGAAGAGCTTGGCCAACTCTATTATCCTTTCTTGCTCTGGTCTTCAAATTGTCATTTGCAGCAGCTGGCTTGGCACGTCTCCCCCATTTCCTGACTCTGACCTACACTCTCAGCCTGGAGAGATCATCCTGCAGTGCAATGAAGGATCCGTCACCATGTTTTACTGTGCTCTCGGCTACATGGGGTTCCTGGCTGCCATCTGTTTCACGGTGGCTTTCATGGCCAGGAATCTGCCTGGGACCTTCAACGAAGCCAAGCTGATCACCTTCAGCATGCTGGTCTTTTGCAGCGTCTGGATCTCCTTTGTGCCCACCTATCTGAGTACCAAAGGGAAGTACATGGTGGCTGTGCAGGTCACCTCCATCTTGGCCTCCAGTGCTGGCCTGCTGGGCTGCATCTTTTTCCCCAAATGCTACATTATTATTTTGAGGCCAGATCTCAATACTAAGGAACAACTAATCATGAAAGCTAAAAGTGAAAAGTGATTCCAATGGGTGTTTCTTATTTCACAGACAGCAAAACAACTCTTTCTCTTCCCCTGCTTCTTTCCCTTGTCCCCATTCAATGGTTTGGATTTATCAAGAAATTTCTCAATTAAAAGAATGTGTTTGTTTTACTTCCCATCTGAAAGACCTCTAAGAATGTTTATTATTTTTGTTTTCCTGGCCACTGCTGTGCATTTTAGTAATTAAACATTAAGCTTAATAATAAAATGGTGACAGGTAGATAATAGGTTCAATAGATAGAAAGACATATGTCTATGGAGATTCTCAGTCATCCAGGCCATGGTTGTCCCAAAGGTGCTTTTTCAAGAGGCAACTGGACTTTCTGGTTTTTCTTTGAAGATATGTCAAGAGGGGGAGGGATATGACATCATCTATCCCCAGTCTACAACACAGTCCTTTCAACAGTTCTAAGAAGTCTCAACTTCTTAGGGGTTTAAGGCACCCTGTTATTAAGCTGGTTATTAAGACAGCTGCCTGCAATTACTGCAGGGTTCGAATCTCGCCAAGGCTCAAGGTTGACTCAGCCTTCCATCCTTTCTAAGGTAGGTAAATTGAGGACCCAGTTGTGGGGGCAATAAGCTGACTTTGTATAAATATACAAAAGGATGAAGGCTATTGCTGAGCACATTGTAAGCCACCCTGAGTCTTCGGAGAAGGGCGGCATATAAATCAAATTTAAAAAAAAAAAAAAAAAAAAAAAACACCCATTTGCACCATTCAGATGATCCTGATGACACAGATAAACCTCCAACACCTCGCTAAAAGACTGTAACATCTCACTAAAAGAATGCAAACAACCAGTATAAATCCTTCCATTCCCCACCATCCAGTCAGAGCTGAAGAAGCTTCTTGGATGAGAAGCAAAATGTCTTCAAAGAAAAAAACAAAAAAAGTCCAGTTGCCTCCTGAAAAAACACCTTTGGGACATTTGGTGCCAGCCACTCTGTTCCCGTTTCTCCATTGCAGTGTAGCGCAGCGTCCAGTATCCACTTTGATAGTGGGTGGTGGGTAAGTTAACAACCGGTTCGCTCAAACCGATGCAAACCAGCTGAATCCCACCACTGAGGAAGTAGAATCACTGGAGAAAAGTTAGAATTTTGCAAAGGTCGAAGGTTGCCGGTCCAAGCTAATCTGAATCTTCACCTTGGGTTGACCAGCCCCAAAATGGTGTTAAGGAGAATATGATATATGCCCTCCAGAATATAGATTGTGCTTAATCGCTGCATCTGATTCAGAGTTTAAGGTAAACATTGAAGACACAAGAAGCTGGTAGAATCCTATCCTGTTTAGTTACTCACTGAGTTCAAACACTTTGTAAATTGTCCCAGTTTGGTGTGGAATACTAGTATCTAAAGTTGATGACTTTAGACTGAGTCGTGATGGTGAACCTATGGCACGCAAGCCCTCGCCCCAGCTGAGCTGTATATACAGCCAACAGGAACAGGAAGTGCCTCATAGGAGCAGTTAGAGGTAAATCCTAGAGAGGCAGGAAATGCATCACTGAATGGAGATGAATGCTAGAGAGGAATAAAGCTGCATACAAGGCAGACATAACACCTGTAACAGTGTAGGCATGCAGGGGGTGGTGGGGGAGCGGGGGGGTGCCATGCCCCCCCGCACCCCTTTTTTGGTCCCAGGAGGCTTCAGGGAGGCCTGCTAGGCCCAAAACAGGATGCAGGGGGCGCACATGCGCAGGAGGGGTGTTGTGCTCACATTGTATTATGGATGCACGCACACACGCTTTCAGCACTCAAGGACAAAAAGGTTAGCCATCACTGCTTTAGTGCAACCAACAGTGAATTTTGCTTTAGGTGATTTTTTTTTTTTCATTTAAGCAACAACAGAACCCTGTGATGTGTATACACATTTATCTGAAAAAAACTAGTAAAAATAATATTAGCAAGCACTTAGTATTTACGTTTTGCTTGGTTTTTTTGTTCCAAATTTTAATTTTCACACCCATTTTCTGTCTTTTCCTTTACTGGCCCCTATTGACAATATCAGAGATAGGACAGAAAGTGCTCTCTTTCTTTGGTATCTGTTAAACTAAAGAGTAAGAATTGGAAAAACTCAACCACCACATGAGATGTTATGTTTTCTCCAGCAATAATAGCATCCTTCACATGTGCCCATGTTTAATCACAGTAATGACAAACAGTCCACTCTTTTTGGATTTACCTCATGACATCACACATCTGTATGTAACAAACAGAATTTACTCTTAGGCTGCATTAAGAGACTGATAGAATCAAGATCCTGTGAAGTGTTAGTAATAGTTTATAATGCCTTGGTAAGGCCGCACTTGGAATATTGCATCCAGTTTGGTTGCCATGATATAAAAAAGATGTTGAGACTCTAGAAAGAGTGCAGAGAAGAGCAACAAAGATGATTAGGGGACTGGAGGCTAAAACATATGAAGAACAGTTGCAGGAACTGGGTATGTCTAGTTTAATGAAAAGAAGGACTGGGGAGACATGAGAGCAGTGCTCCAGTATCTCAGGGGCTGCCACAAAGAAGAGGGAATCAAGCTATTCTCCAAAGCATCTGAGGGTAGAACAAGAAGCAATGGGTGGAAACTAATCAAGGAGAGAAGCAATTTAGAACTAAGGAGAAATTTCCTGACAGTTAGAACAATTAATAAGTGGAACAACTTTCCTGGAGAAGTTGTGAATGCCCCAACACTAGAAATTTTTAAGAAGATGTTGGATAACCATTTGTCTGAAGTGGTGTAGGGTTTCCTGCCTGGGCAGGAGGTTGGACTAGAAGACCTCCAAGGTCCCTTCCAACTCTGTGATTCTATTCTATTCTAGTTTAATGAAAAAAGACCTGGGGTGACATGATAGCAGTGTTCCAATATCCAAGGGGCTGCCACAAAGAAGGTGGGCTCAACCTATTATCCAAAGCACCTGAAGGCAGGAAAAGAATCAATGGATGAAAACTAATTTTGTTTTGGTCGCCATGATATAAATAAGATGTTGAGACTCTAGAACAGGGGTCAGCAACCTGGGCTCTGGAGCCGCATGTGGCTCTTTCACCCCTCTGCTGCGACTCCCTGATACTCAAAATATGTGTCATAACCACCAATGTGTGACATCCACCGGCATGCAATTTATTCAGCTTTTCAACCCCCGGTAGGCCAACCATGGATAAATCCAAGAAAAGAAAAGTTTCAGAAGCAAACAGAATGTTTAATTCAACTACATATGCTAGTTTTGTGGCCGCTCAAGAAATAGTCAGGGACGGGAAGGGTATTGTGGCTTCCGGTGTTTTCTTTTTTGTGGGAAAACTGGTCCAAATGGCTCTTTGAGTGTTTAAGGTTGCAGACCCCTGCTCTAGAAGGAGTGAAAAGAAAAACAACACAGATGATTAGAGGACTGGAGCAGTGGAGAAATCCAATTTTTTTTACTACCGGTTCTCCATTCCCTCCCCAATCCTGGGGGAAGGATATTGCAAAATCTCCATTCCCACCCCACTCTGGGACCAGCCAGAGATATTTGCCAGTTCCCTGAACTACTCAAAATTTCCGCTACCGGTTCTCCAAATTGCTCAAAATTTCCACTACCGGTTCTCCAGAACCTGTCAGAACCTGCTGGATTTCACCCCTGGACTGAAGGATAAAATATATGAAGAATAGTTCCAGGAATTGGTTATGTCTGGTTTAATTAAAACAAGGATTGGGTGATGATGTGATAACAGTGTTCCAATATCTAATGGGCTGCCCCAAAGAAGAAGGGGTCAAGCTATTCTCCAAAGCACCTGAAAGCAGAATAGGAAGCAATAGATGAAAATTCATCAAGGAGAGAACCAACCTAGAAGTAAGGAGAAAATTCCTGACAGAACAATTAAACAGTGGAACGACTTCTCTCCAGAAGTTGTGAAGATGCTCCATCACTGGAGGTATTTAAGAAGTTGTTTTAATGTATCTATGTTGGTTTGTTTTTTTTTATTATTATTAATAAAAATATTTTTAAAAAAAGAGAGAAGAGATTGCACAACCATTTGTCTGAACTGATACAGGGTTTCCTGCTTGAGAAGGGGGTTGAACTAGAAGACCTCAAAGGTGCCTTCCAACTTGTTATTGTGTTATAACCACACACATTTTGTCACTTGCTCCTACTTGTCCCTACATCAAAAAAAATGGGAATATATGAAAGTAAGTTCAAGATGAAGAATCATGTCTCTTTCACAAATGTCCAGAAAGGAAAGCCAAGACTAGATTCAAGCAGTGGTGAAATCTGGCTGGACCTATCCAGCTTGCGTGAACCGGTGGCGGTAGGCTCCGCCCACCTGCCAGGACGTCATTACATCCCGTTTTTGACCCTCCGAGCATGCCCAGAAGAGGCACGCTCAAGCGTAGCGAGCACGCATGCACGAGCGTTCACATTCCCAAATTAGTAGCGAAGGTAAGTGCATTTCACCACTGGATTCATGACTAACATTGAAGGAGGTCCTGCAGGACTAAGGACACTGGTGATATTGTCTTGGTCTTGGCCATTCTGAAAGAGTTCCACCACAAAAAGTTGGGCCAAACTCATCAGCCTCCTTCTTTGATTTGTAGTAAGAGTTGCATCAGTAATTCTCCAGCTGATTCCAGCACATGGGTTCACACAGGCCTGAAGATTTCACTAAGGTCATGCTACTCCTTGTAATTATTAACATGACTGTGTTTTCTTCATTGCCTTTATGCCAAGGGATTCTTTTCCCCTCTGGAAACTCGTCTTGAAATAAACAACAGACTCAGGGGCAACATATAGTAATATTTACCAGCAGTAAAGTTAGTGCATAAATACATCTCATGCCACTGGGAAGCTGGACTGAGTTTCACAGCCGACAGGTGTTGTGTTACTGTATTGACCCTAGTTCTATCACTGGACAATCCTAGCTGGACTTCATATGCATTAAAAAAAACCCATTGAAATTCGATCCTGTTTCAAAAGACTTTGTGCTTCTCCTAAGGTCATACAATCCATCAGATCAGGAATGGTCTGCTTGCTTCTGCTTCTCATGCTGCTCTTCCTGTTGCCACAGGCTACCTGCAAGATACTCAGTGGCAAATGCCTCTTGACTCTGAGGAGGGCCGCAGTAGACCCATTCAATCATTACAAGCCAGGACACCATCTCATTAGTGGGCTCTTCTCTGCAACCAATCTTGCTAACATTCAGCCATTTAGTTTCAACAGGAGTCCCTCTGCAAAATTTGATGGGTAAGTCATCCCATAGACGATGGAGCTACACCACCGCCTCTGCTTTTTATCTGAGCTTGGCACATTGCTATTTTATGCCTAAATCAAGCTGGTGTTGTGTGAAATTGGTTTTCTTCTTAAAACTCAATTATTTATTATTATTTTTTTTAAAAAAATGATTTATATGCCGCCCTTCTCCGGAGACTCAGGGCGGCTTACAATGCGTTAAGCAATAGCCTTCATCCTTTTGTATATTTATACAAAGTCAGCTTATTGCCCCCACAAACTGGGTCCTCATTTCACCTACCTTAGAAAGGATGGAAGGCTGAGTCAACCTTGAGCCTTGGCAAGATTCGAACCTGCAGTAATTGCAGGCAGCTGGTCTTAATAACCAGCTTAATAATAGAGTGCCTTAGACCACTGTACTACCAAGGCTCTGAGATTTCTGGGATTATCCAATACATTCAGTTGCAAGTTAACTTAACAGGCTTGCTGCATATCACCCACTAACCTGAGGTAAACATGAGGTAAATTTCACCTTAACAAAGCTCCGCATGTTGTCTGAATGCCACTTGAGGTCTTTCACTCCTCAGATTAAGCCTCTTGTATGAACTAGCCAAATAAATACCAAGATGGACAGAAGGTAATTAGCAAAACCCTGGAAGGGAACTCAAAAGCTAATACAATCCTTGGTTGTATAAACAGAGGCACAGAATCAAAATCATGTGAAGTATTAGTACCACTTTATAAAGCCTTAGTAAGACCACAGCTGGAATACTTGCATCCAGTTTTGGTCACCACATTACAAAAAAAGATGTTTAGATTTTGGAAAAAGTTCAGAGAAGAGCAAGTAAGATGATTAAAGGCCTGGAGAGTAAAACATATGAAGAACAGTTGCAGGATTTGGGTTTGGTTAATCTAGAGAAAAGAAGGACTAGGGATGACATGACAGCATATTCCAGTATCTGAGAGGTTGCCACAAAGAGGAAGGGTCCATTTATTTTCCAAAGCCCCAGAACGGCAGGACAAGAAACAATGGATGGAAACTAAACAAGGAGAGAAGCAACCGGGAACTAAGGAGAAACTTCCCAACAGTGAGGACAATTAACCAGTGGAACAGATTGCCTTCAGAAGCTGTGGGTGCTTCATCACTGGAGGTTTTTAAGAAGAGATTGGACAGTCACTTGTCTGAAATGGTACAGAGTCTCCTGCTTGAGCAGGGGGTTGGACTAGAAGACCTCCAAGGTCCCTTCCAGCTCTATTTTGATTAATTGACTGGTTGATTTTATTAAGATTTGAGCACCACTCAACTCCAAAACAGCTCTGGGCAGCTCACAATATCAACACAGACAAAATTAATAAAAACGGAATGCAAAGTCGATAAACAGGATTGATGGAATAGACAAGCAAGATGGCATCCAGTCACTTCATAAAATTCATAGACAAAGATGCAAAAATGCATCCTACAAGGGACACTGAGTATATGAGTATTCTCAGGGGATACAAACCAAGGGAGCAAGGTAGAAATGCAAAGAAACATAGAAAGAGATCATACCCTTTCATTTGAAGGGATACAGGAGCTAATAATTCACTACAATTCTTCACATATTTTCCTTCTTCCCATAGCTTTTCTTCTGGTCTGTCATATAGACACACATTTCCACACAAGCTATTGAAACATTCAATGATCAATTGCAAAGTTCCCAAAGTTGTGTGTCCCCGTCCCCACACACACACAAACAGCCAGCCGGGGGTTAAAGAATTACTTGGCACACACAATGTTCGTTATCAGGAACTTGGCAGCAATACAATAACCATCTGCCAAGTGCTTTACTACGAGAAGAGGGAGTGTCCCTCCACCAGATAACCCCAACGAATACACACAGATTTCAAAACAGTCCTAGCTCAAACATGGAACCTTCAGCAGATTAGGCGTTGTACAAAGTGACTAGCCAGAAGTTAGCTTTGTCCGTCACAGAGTCTAAATGGCCACCACACTCTCCGGTGACTCAGCTTAAGCCCTGGCACGCCTCCTCATCTGCTGCAAACATTTATCTCGCCTTCGTTGGCGTGGATCCAGGAACGACTTATCACCGTCATTGCGGTCATCGGAGACACCTGGCTCCTGGCCAATCTCCTCTCCCTCGGCAGACACCTGAGGCATTGCCAGAGAGGAGGGGCCTGGAGAGGGAGGCCTGGCCGGCTCCTCTCCTTCATGTTCGGAGCCTTCTTCCTCCGATAAGATGGGCTCGGGGGTCGAAGCCACAACACCAAAGAGTGACTGGATTGCTAGAAAGCCATTTCATAAGACCAGGAAGGTAGAGAGATACCTTATCAGCAGCAGTCACCAACTGGTGGTCTGTGGACCACTGGTGATCCATGAGAAAATTTTGGTGGTTCCCAGAAAAATTATTTGCATTTTTTATATTGCACTAAATCAGGGGTTCTCAAACTACAGCCCCTGGGATGGATATGTGCAATGAACATTTGTGTTGCTGCAGAGAGTCTCCCCTTTTGGGGTCTTTTTGTGTGGGTTGGAGGGGGGGCAGAAATTCCGTCTCAGGGTCTGCTTCAGCCTCCTGGTGTGGGGCTTTGGGCGAAGGCTGGAAGGAAGTGCCGCTGGTGGCAAAGAGCTGGAGGGCCTTGTTCCAGTGGGACTGCATCATGGCCTGGAACTGGCTGACCATCTCAGCCTGCTGAGCTCCAGGCACCGGTACCTGGCCTTGCACTCCTGCAGGCCTTCTCTCTGCTTGGAAAGCCTATGCTCCTAGTCCTCAGTGAGGTGCTTCTGCTGAGCCTCCTTCTCGGTCAGATCCAATTGGAACTGAACCAGCTGTTTTGCCAACTTTTTCTCATGGTGGCTGCTTAGCTCCAGCAATTGCTTCCTGTTGGGGCCCTAAAGATCCCAGGCGGGCAGGCGAGGAGTAGCACATAGAGGCTGGCAAGGTGCCCCTTGACGTGAGTGACATCGAGTTGGCCACACCCATACCAGTCACATGACCACCTAGCCACGCCCACCCGGCCAGTCATTAGGCAGATCATATTAGTGGTCCGCGGGATTTAAATTTATAAATTTAGCGGTCCCTGAGGTCCGAAAAGTTGGTGACCCCTGCCTTATCAGTATCAGGAAGCATTTTGGGGGCTAAGACATAGTCTTTGATTTACAAATTGTCTAGGTTGTTTCAGTTCTAACAGAATAACAGAGTTGGAAGAAATCTTTGAAGACTTCTAGTCCAATCCCCTTATACCATTTCAGACAAATGGTTGTCCAATCTGTTCTTAAAAACTTCCAGAGCTCCAGCACTCACAACTTCTGAAGGCAAGTTGTTCTAACTGATTAATTGTCCTCACTATAAGGAAATTTCTCCTTAGTTCTAAATTGCTTCTCTCCTTGATTAGTTTCCATCCATTGCTTCTTGTCCTGCCCTCAGGGGCTTTGGAGAATAAGTTGACCTCTCTTCTTTGTGGCAACCCCTGAGATATTAGAACACTACTATCCTTTCATTCCTAATCCTTCTTTTCATTAAATTAGACATACCCCTTTCCAGCAACTGTTCTTTGTATGTTTTAGCCTCCAGTCCCTTAATCATCTTTGTTGCTCTGCTCTGCACTCTTTCTAGAGTCTAGAATTCTATTTTAATTCAGTGATGCAGTGGTGTGGAATTAGGCAGGGATCCTTAATTCAGGAACCTTACTTTTCCTCAATGCAGAATGATGACACGATGTGCATATATTTTCAGGGAAGGAGATGTGATGTACTGGAAAATTCTGTCCTTCCTTTTTGCCATTCAGGAGATCAACAAAGATTCCCACCTCTTACCCAACATCACTCTGGGATACAGTCTCCAAGACAACTTTAGAAGCAGACGAATGACTTTGGATGGTCTGTTGGACCTGCTGTCAACCGGAGAGGCCAATGTTCCCAACTACAGTTGTGGAAGGAAGAAAAACGTGCTGGTTCTCCTGGAAGAGGCTGATTCTGACATATCCATCCACATTGCTGCTATATTGGGCATATACAAAATAGCACAGGTATGTGAGTGGAAGGCAGTGGTGAAATGTAAAATATTTACTACCGGTTCTGTGGGCGTGGCTTGGTGGGGGGGGGGTAATATGACTAAATGGGTGTGGCCAACTTTTTTTTTTTTTACTTTTAAAACCATTTTTTCTACAACCTCTTCGGGCGAAGAGGTTGTTTAAAAATGCTTTAAAAAGCCTCTGGCGATCATAGCTGACTTGCCTGATCGGCAGAGGTTTTTCCTTTTTTTTTTAAGCCTCTGATGATCCCAGCTGACTTGCCTGATCTGCAGAAGCTTTTTTCTTTTTTTTTTAAGCCTCTGACGATCCGAGCTGAGACATACGATCATCAGAGGCTTTTTTTTTTTTTTTAACTTTTAAAAGCATTTTTTTGGCCGAAGAAGTTGTAGAAAAAATGCTTTTAAAAATTAAAAAAAAGCCTCTGATAATTGCACGGCTCAGCTGGGCATGGGGGGAGCAGGGATTTTTGCTACCAGTTCTCCAAACCACCCGCCTCCATCGCTACCGGATCGGGCAATCCGGTCCGAACCGAGAGCAGCCTCCAGAGACTCCTAGAGAGGTTCTGGAGGCTGGAGACAGCAAAAAACATCACTTCCTGTCCCACCGGGAGTTGGGAAATGGGCCGTTTCAGGCCTCCGGAGAGCCTCTGGGGGAGTGGGGAAGGCTGTTTTCGCCCTCCCCAGATGCATAGAGAGGATCTGGAGCCTGTTGAGAAAGAAAAACGGGCCTACCGGGCCATCGTGTGCCAGGAGGGGGGATTGCACGTGCATGCACAGGGCAGGACGCATAGAATTATGGGTGTGGGCACACACGTGTGTGAACCCTCTCCGCTCCCCCCGGCACACGATAGCAAAAAGGTTAGCCATCACTGGTATAGGGTCTCCTGCCTTACAACTCTATTATTCTATGTTCGAAGAGAAATTCCTTTAAAACCAAGGCCTCTACTTTCACAGTAACAACTACCATGTTGAACCTAAATCTCAGGCTGCCCTAGAGGCTAAAACAGAACCGCATTTTTATTGTACTCCAGAAAACAGTGCCCACTCAGTCACTGAGTGAGCAAATATAATGCAAAACTACAGAATTTATACTTGGGCAGATCTCAGATTATGCAAGTTGACATGCAATGTCAATTCTCATAAGAGGAGATGTCCAGTGCAAGATATCAGGAAGCGAAGCTATTCAAAAGACTACAAGTTTATTCTATGCTAGCTCTCTATAAGTATCTGAACTACTAACAGTCAAGGCAAATTGGTGGTAGATAAAAATTCAATGGAATTCAAGGAGGGTTGAATTTATTGTAGATCACTTGTGGGCACGAAGTAACTCGAGACTGATTACATGTTTGACCCCTCCCTTGGGTTCAGCCTGGTCATTTCCTACAAGACACTTGAATTTCTTCTCAATTTTAGCCGTCATAATGTCCACAACTTCTGAAGACAATAGCAATAGCACTTAGACTTATATACCGCTTCATAGTGCTTTTACTGCCCTCTCTAAGCAGTTTACAGAGTCAGCATATTGCCCCCAACAATCTGGGTCCTCATTTTACCAACCTCGGAAGGATGGAAGGCTGAGTCAACCTTGAGCCTGGTGAGATTCAATATGGTAAATTGTAGGCAGCTGGCAGTCAGCAGAAATTGCCTGCAGTGCTGCACTCTAACCACTGCGCCACCACAGTTCATGTGGAAGGCAAGTCGTTCCACTGGTTTATTATTCTCACTATCAGGAAATTTCTCCTTAGTTTTAGGTTGCTTCTCTCCTTGATTAGTTTCCATCCATTGCTTCTTGTCTTACCTTCTGGTGTTGTACTGTCCCATTGTGTCCATTAAGTTAATCTGGAGTCACCTAGTCATCATCTGAGCTCTAATGCTACTTTTTCAGTACCATATCATTAGGCGTCGTTCTTCTGTTTTCTATTTCAGATCAGCTACACTTTTACTTCACCATCCATGAGTGATAAAGCTCAGTTTCCTTTTTTTTCCCGGACTGTCCCCAAAGAAGGTGCCCAATATTTGGGCATTATTAAATTGCTCCAATACTTTCGGTGGACATTCACGGGGCTCTTTGCTGCAGACACTGATAATGGAGAACATTTCATTAGGACTTTCACTCCAGTGCTGGCACAGAATGGCATTTGTGTTGTTTTCGCACAACCCATCTTGCTGAATACCAAGAATTTCGACTATCTGATTTCCGCTTTCCACAAATGGAGGCAAATCAATGTACTTGTTTACTATGCAGAGTTTACATCTTTCCTAGAGGGAATACTTATTACCGATTATATATTTAAGCTCTTGAGAAAACATGTTCTGGGGAAAGTCTGGATCACAACAGCTTTATGGGACCTCACTATGGAGATAATATATAGTGATCTCCCTTTCAGATATACCCACAGTATTTTTTCTTTTCTTATCCAGACAAAAAAAAGGACCAGATATGATGGTTTTAAATATTTCTACCATCTTATGAGGCAGCTGACTCATAAACATTTTCACTGTTCATATGCAAAGTCTGCCTTGTCTGTGAAAGGCCGGACAAGGTGTTTAGAGAAAGAGAACTTGAAGACTCTGCCTCAAGAGAAAATTGAAAGGATATTCTCGCTAGACAATTCCTTAACTTACAATGCCGTCTGGACAGTGGCCCATGCCTTAAATGCGGCCTATTCTTCCCAATCCCTGAGGACAATAATGGCAAGAAAAGATAGGTTGGAAGTTCCAAAGCTTCAGCCGTGGCAGGTATTCCCTTCCCCCATCTCGTACAAAAGGGTGAAACAGATGGATTGATCCTGACAGGTTTGGCCCCAAAGCAGGGGTGAAATCCAGCAGGTTCTGACAGGTTCTGGAGAACTGGTAGCGGAAATTTGGAATAGTTCAGAGCAGTGGTGAAATCCAATTTTTTTTACTACCGGTTTTATGGGTGTGGCTTGGTGGGCATGGTGTGGTGTGGCTTGGTGGGTGTGGCAGGGGAAGGATACTGCAAAATCCCCATTCCCCCCCCACCACTCTGGGGCCAACCAGAGATGGTATTTGCCGGTTCTCTGAACTACTCAAAATTTCCGCTACCAATTCTCCAAACTGCTCAAAATTTCCACTACCTTCTCTCCAGAACCTGTCAGAACCTGTTGGATTTCACCCGTGGTTCAGAAAACCGGTAGCGGAAATTTTAAGTAGTTTGGAGAACCGGCAAATGCCACCTCTGGCTGGCTCCAGAGTGGGGTGGGAATGGAGATTTTGCACTATCCTTCCCCTGCCACACCCACCAAGCCACACCATGCCCACCAAGCCATGCCCACAGAACTGGTAGTAAAAAAAATTGAATTTCACCACTGCCCCAAAGGTATTTTTTCCAAAAGGCAACTGGACTTTCTTGGGGTTTTTTCCCTTGGAAAATATTTCACTTCTCATCCAAGAAGCTTCTTCAGCTCTGAAGGAGTTTTTTTGGATGAGAAGCTAAACATTTTCCAAGGAAAAAAATCAAGAAAGTCCAATTGCCTTTTGGAAAAACTACTTTTGGGACAACCATGACCTGGATGGCTGAGAAGCTCCATAGACAGGTTTAGCGATTCCAAAATCCATTCTTTATATTTCTCTCCAAAAAGTACATGCATTTCAGCAATTACATTTCATGAATCCTTTCCCTTAATAAAATCCCTTGGTTTCATTCTCCTTTCCCTGTTTCGGTTGGTCTCTGACACTGCCAAATGGTGATTTAGTCTTGGCTCTGGGGCAGAGGTGGTATTCAGCAGGTCTGACCAGTTCTGGAGAACCAGTAGCAGAAAGTTTGAGTAGTTCGGAGAACTGGTAAATACCACCTCTGACTGGTCCCGCCCCTATCTATTCTCTGCCTCCCGAGTTCCAGCTGATTGGGAGGAAATGAGGATTTTGCGGTAACCTTCCCCTGGAGTGGGGTGGGAATGGAGATTTTACAGTATCCTTCCCCTGCCACGCCCACCAAGCCACGCCCACAGAACCGGTAGTAAAAAAATTTGAATCCCACCACTGCTCTGGGGTCATATACTACTATATCTCTTCTTTTTCTGTGCTTGGAGATTTTCTTTTCTCAATTTTGAGAAATTTGATATTTGAGGAAGGAATTTATATGTATTTCCTACCTTACCATTATCTTTCACTGCATCATTTGAATGGGGCCCAACCCATGAAATTTTACTCCGCTAGTCGTTGCAAACTATACGGGGCAGTGTTCATCTCAACTTCAAGACCATTGAGCTAGCATTGCCTGAAGACATTTCTGTGGTCATGTGCCCGTCATGACATCATGGAGCACTGTTACCTTCCCACCAAAGTGATGCCTATTTATCTATTCGCATTTGCATGCTTTCAAACTGCTAGATTAGCAGGAGCTGGGGTGAGGACAGCAGCTTATCCTGTCGCATGGCGCTTGGGTTTCGAACCTGAGCTGCAGATTTCCAGCCAATAAGCCCAGCCTCTTAACCACCGCACTGCCCTATAGATTGATCACATCTACCCCAAATTCTGAAAGCAAACACAAACATTCAGAATAAAACCAACCCTTTTGTACACAAATTGATTTGTAGAGATTTGACACCATTAGAGATGCAGATGTGGTATTTCCACAACTAAGATAACAAAACTGATAATGTGTCATCTACGTTGTTCATTTCCTGTCTGTAGCTCCACCCTTTCCTGAAGAACCCCCAGATCTACAATAACACCATGGACGGAATGTATGCAGACGGAAATGGAAATTTGATGGCTGACTTTGACATCCTGAGCTGGATGTGGTTTCCTAATAGGTCAGCCACCAGAGTGAAATTTGGAACTCTAGCAAGAGGGGAAACTGCAAGCGTCAAATTCAGCATTAACAAGGAAGCCATTGTGTGGTCCAAATGGAACAAACAGGTGAAGAATAACAGAATGACAAAGTTGGAAGGGATCTCGGAGGTCTTTAGTACAACAGCCTGCTCAAGAGGAGAGCCTATACCATTCCAGACAAGTGGCTATCCAATCTCTTTTTGAAAGTCTCCAGTGATGGAGCACCCACAGTTTCTGGAGAAAAGCTGTTCCACTGATTAATTGTTCTGTCAGGAAATTTCTCCTTAGTTCCAGGTTGTTTCTTTCCTTAATTACTTTCCATCCATTGCTTCTTGTCCTGCCTTCAGGAGCTTTGGAGAACAGACTGACCCTTTCTTCTTTGTGGCAATGCCTTAGATATTGGAACACTGCTATCACGTCACCCCTTGTCCTCCTTTTCACTAGAGTAGACAAACGCAATTCCTGAAACTGTTCTTCATATGTTTTAGCCTTCAGCTTCCTAATCATTTTTGTTGGTCTCCTCTGCACTCTTATAATATTGGAAGACTGCTATCATATCACCCCTAGTCCTTCTGATCTGTATATAAATTTCTCATGAAGACAATGAGATATTCTGGGATTCCATTTTTAAGGATAGATTCCACAGCTTGTTTTAGAATGGAATGGAATGGAATGGAATGGAATGGAATGGAATGGAATGGAGTGGAGTGGAGTGGAGTGGAGTGGAGTGGAGTGGAGTGGAGTGGAGTGGAGTGGAGTAGTCCTTCTTTTCATTAAACTAGACATACCCAGTTCCTGCAACTGTTCTTCATATGTTTTAGCCTCCAGTCCCCTAATCATCTTTGTTGCTCTTCTCTGCACTCTTTCTAGAGTTTCCACATCTTTTTTACATCGTGGTGACCAAAACTGAACGCAATATTCCAAGTGTGGCCTTACCAAGGCATTATAAAGTGGTATTAACACTTCACATGATCTTGATTCTATCCCTCTGTTTATGCAGCCCAGAACTGTGTTGGCTTTTTTGGCAGCTGCTGCACACTGCTGGCTCATATCTAAATGGTTGTCCACTAGGACTCCAAGATCCCTCTCACAGTTACTACTATTGAGCAAGGTACCACATATATGGTACCTGTGCATTTTGTTTTTCTTCCCTAAATGTAGAACCTTCCTTTTTTCATTGTTGAATTTCATTTTGTTAGATAGCGCCCAATGTTCAAGTCTATCAAGATCCTTCTGTATCTTGAGCCTATCTTCTGGAGTGTTGGCTATTCCTGCCAGCTTGGTGTCATCTGCAAATTTGATGAGTTCCCCATTTATCCCATCATCCAAGTCATTGATGAAGATGTTGAAGAGCACTGGGCCTAAATGGAGCCCTGGGGTACTCCACTGCGTACTTCCCTCCATGTAGATATAGTTCCATTGAGGACTACACACTGAGTGCGATTGGTCAGCCAGTTACGAATCCATCTGGTGGTGATGCTGTCTAACCCACATTTTTCTACTTTATCTAGTAGTAGGTTATGGTCTACTTTATCAAATGCTTTACTGAAGTCCAAGTATATTATATCGACAGCATTCCTCTGGTCCACTAATTTTGTCACTTTGTCAAAGAATGCAATAAGATTAGTCTGGCATGATCTGTTTTTGACAAACCCATGTTGGCTTTTGGTTATTACTTGGTTTTGACTAACACAATCGAAACGATTTTTTTAGAATTGATGAAGCACACACTGTCTTCATCTTAGTATTCTTTGGCTTCCTCAATTATGTAACATGCATCAGCAATAATTGAAGTACATTAATATTCCTTTCATTCAGCATCAACAATGGGCAAGGTGTTTTCTAGACTTTAAGAAGAAAGTTTTCTGTCCCAAAGACACAGGGAGAAATAACATGAAGATAAAGGGAAATGGAGGGAAGATTTAAGAGAAGAGAAGTAAAACTGTATTTGTTCATTTGGATGTGCATAGATTCAGCAAGTTGAAGCTGTGGTCAGAGATTTGATAGAACAGATGCTGGAGAATTCTAGAATTTCCATTTCTTTTCAGAATAGTAATGGTATAGTTGTTCCAGATTTGCTTTGGCAATATTCTAGAAGTCAGCCCTCCAAATGGGAAGCAGTTGGTACTGTTCCAAACATAGGGCACCCCCAAAGTAGATCCAGAATATCACAACTGGACTATCACAAATGCTTTCCAAGTTCAAGAATTACTTTCAAGAAAATGATTGGACCAACTCTGGAATGGCCAGCATAATATGGTCCTAAGGAGAAATGAATCTTCCAGAGTTTTTCAGAATATTCCATTTCTGGAATGGTCGGTTTTACTCAAACTAGCAAGAGCACTTAGATTTATACACCACCCCATTGTGCTCTCTGGGCAGTTTACAACATCAGCATATTGGGTGATGCTGTAAAAAAATTTGGGCCCTCATTTTACTATCCTTGGAAGGATGGAAGGCTGAGTCAACCTTGAGCCTGTCAGGATTGAATCAGTGGTGGGTTTCAAAAATTTTTACTACCGGTTCTGTGGGTGTGGCTTGGTGGGCGTGGCATGGATGAGTGGGCTTGGCTTGGTGGGTGTGGCAGAGGAAGGATACTGTAAAATCTCCATTCCCTCCCCAATCCAGGGGAAGGTTACTGCAAAATCCCCATTTTCTCCCGATCAGCTGGGACTTGGGAGGCAGAGAAGAGATGGGGGCAGGGCAGTTAGAATTTTTACTACCAGTTCTCCAAACTACTCAAAATTTCCACTACCGGTTCTCCAGAACTGGTCAGAACCTGCTGAAACCCACCTCTGGATTGAACTCCTGACTGTGGGCAGAGATAGCCTGGAATACTGCATTCTAACCACTGCTCCACCACAGCTTGTTCCTATTTTGTCGACACTCTTCCAGCTCTATCTCTCATTTCATAACTGATCAGTTGTGCAGATGGTTCTAAATGCCAATTCTCTTCATTTCATAACTGATCAGTTGTGCAGATGGTTCTAAATGCCAATTCTCTTCATTTTCAGCCCTGGCCATATTCTCAGTGTGTGGAGTCTTGTCAACCCGGATACTTCAAGGTGGTCCAGGAGGAAAAACCAAGTTGCTGTTATGACTGCATCCCCTGTGCAGAAGGGAGCATCTCCACTCAAGAAGGTGGGTGACTTAAGAGTCAAGGTAAGGGAAAGGAGCAAAGATTCCTAGAGATCTTTTCTATGAAGCTTTTTTGTCATTGAGATATTTTTTCCTCTCTTTTCTTCCTATATTTAACTTCTCACTTTTAGTCTCAACATTCCTCCAGAGAAGGAAAAAGGCAGGTAAATCCTCCAGAAAACAAGACTTTTTGGCAAACAAACATTTCTTGCTTCAAACTCTACCCCTTCCTCTCCCAGCTACCCTTTCTCTCTTTATCAGCTTTAGTGACTTTGTTAAGGATATTGTTGAGTTACACCCGATGTTGTGGTTTATAAAGCAGAGTACCGTTAGAGTTTTACGCACGGAAACGTTTTGAGAGTAATTGTGAATAACATACAGACAAACTGGGTTTTATAGTATTTTACTTTTAGGGAAAAGCAAAATCATAGTCCTTTAACAATCCAAGTCTTAGCCATATAAAGTGCAATATAAGATCAATCTAGGGATATAAAATCTTCTTACCAGTTTGTAGAAAAATACAAGGAACAATCAGGAACAATATAAAAACAGTTCAATAAATATCAGAAAGCAGTAAATAATCATGATCAAACAATGATCATATAGAGAGATCAAAAAGAGTTACAGCATAGCAGCAGGTAAAAATGGTGTAGTATCCACAGCTAACCATAATTTAGCTGTCCTTAAATACATTGGCTACAGAGCTCAGCCAATCAGGATGCAGAATGACTCAGCACAGTTCTTAAAGCTACATAATACATTCACATAATACAAACATACAATGTTGGCTTATATATTTCCTGGCCAACCAATTAGGCAATAACCATTTCCTAACAGATTTACTTGTGCAGGCAAGCACATACACCAACATGCATTCATAACTCCCTCTCTCCTCCTCTCTCATACAATCAGACACACAAAGTATTAGGTTTGAGTTTTCTGAGCTCAAAATATGACTCCCGTACTATAAGTTATAATTCCCACTATATACATTTATGAAAGGTGTTACTTGTCCTTTTCAGATGCAGACCACTGTACCAGATGTCCAGAAGATCAACATCAGAACAAGAACCGAGACCAATGTATCCCCAAAATCATCACCTTCTTGTCATATCAGGAGAATTTGGGGGTCATCCTTACCTCCTTTTCCCTCTTCTTAATCTTAACCTCCAGTTTTGTTTTGGGAATCTTCAGTAAATACCGAGAAACTCCCATCGTCAAGGCCAATAACCAGGATCTCTCCTATATTCTCCTGGTCTCCCTACTGCTTTCTTTCTGCGCTTCCTTCCTTTTCATTGGTCGGCCAAGGAGGGCCACTTGCCTTCTTCGACAAACAGTCTTCAGCATCGTCTTCTCAGTTGCCGTCTCTTCTGTCTTGGCCAAAACAATCATGGTGGTGCTGGCCTTCCTAGCTACAAAGCCAGGGAACAGAGTGAGGAGATGGTTGGGGAAAAGTTTGGCCAATTCCATCATCCTTTCCTGTTCTAGCATCCAGGTCATCCTTTGTTCCATCTGGTTAGGAATCTGTCCCCCATTCCCTGGTTCTGACATGCATTCACAATCTGGGGAGATCATCCTGCAGTGCAATGAAGGCTCCACTGTTATGTTTTACATTGCTCTCACTTACATGGGCTTCCTGGCCACCATCTGTTTCATGGTGGCTTTCCTAGCTAGGAACCTCCCAGGGGCCTTCAACGAAGCCAAGTTGATCACTTTCAGCATGCTGGTCTTTTGCAGCGTCTGGATATCCTTTGTGCCCACCTACCTAAGCACCAAGGGAAAGTATATGGTGGCAGTGCAGGTCTTCTCCATCTTGGCTTCCAGTGCTGGTCTGCTGGGATGTATCTTCATCCCCAAGTGCTACATTATTTTACTAAGACCAGATCTAAATACAAAAGAGCAGCTAATATTGAAAAATGAATCGGGAAACTGATTCTGATGCAATTTTCTTAACAGTGTAATTCCCACCCAGTGTTTTAGATCATTAATTATTTTTCAGGGAAATGGCTGCCCTTTCTAGGTGATTATATATAGAGGAATCCCTTACCCAAAAGCTGAACAATTACTATAGTACAACTTTATAAGGCCTTGGTAAGGCCACACTTGGAATAATGCATCCAGTTTGAGTTGCCATGATATAAATAAGATGTTGAGACTCTAGAAAGAGTGCAGAGAAGAGCAACAAATATGATTAGGGGACTGGAGGCTAAAACCTATGAAGAACGGTTGCAGGAACTGGATATGTCTAGTTTAATGAAAAGAAGGACTATAGGAGACATGATAGCAGTCTTCCAATATCTCAGGGGCTGCCGCAAAGAAGAGGGAGTCAAGCTATTCTCCAAAGCACCTGAGGGCAGGACAAGAAGCAATGGGTGGAAACTAATCAAGGAGAGAAGCAACTTAACATTAAGAAGAAATTTCCTGATTGTGAGAACAATTGATCAATGGAACAGCTTGTCTCCAGAGGTTCTCAGCAAAAAAAAAAAAAAAACACCGTGAATTCAAGTCCCGCTTTAACCATGAAAGGAAGCTGGGCCAGTCAATCTCTCTCAGCCCACCTCATCTCACTGGGTTGTTGTTATGATGAAAACAGGAGGAAAGTGTGTTGGATAGGTGTGCCACCTTGAGCTATTTGTAAAAATAACAACGGCGGGATATAAATAAGTGAATAAAAACACAAACCAACCTGATTAGCTGGTCTTGTCAAATCATTCATCTATGTTCATCTTGCCAAGCATTAACATTTTTTCCAGATCAGAATGACATACCTGGCATTCAGTGGTGGGTTTCAATTTTTTTTACTACCGGTTCTGTGGGCGTGGCTTGGTGGGCGTAGCATGGCTTGATTGGAGTGGCTTGGTGGGCGTGGCAGGGAAAGGTTACTGCAAAATCCCCATTTCCTCCCGATCAGCTGGGACTTGGGAGGCAGAGAAGAGATGGGAGCGGGGCCAGGCAGAATTTTTACTACCGGTTCTCCGAACTACTCAAAATTTCCACTGCCGGTTCTCCAGAATTGGTCAGAACCTGCTGAAACCCACCTCTGCTGGCATTTCCTTCGTTGCTAATTTTAATGCTTGAGAAGTAAGTGTTGTTTCTCCTTATCGCACTTCATACACACACATGCGATATTCCTGCGATATTGGCGTTTCTTAGCAGCAAGAGCCACTAGGGGGGCTCCCGCTACCAACATCAGAAGTCCTGGCAGCCTTGTAGCTTCAGACCCTGGAAATTTTGCCAGAGCTTGTTGCAAAGGGGAAATATTAAGGGTTGCCTCCTGGTATTTGGGCCAGGGCCAGGAGCAGGAAATGGGACTCCGCATCCAGAGCTTGGCCAATCTGGGAGGAAGCTCTCGTTCACCTTCACTTTTGGGTCCTAGAAATCAGAGGCCACCCGCGGAAGAATCTTGAAAGATAGTAAACCTGGTTGTGAGAAGAACCTCAAGGTCTTCTTCTAATGTGAGCAACAACTAAGAAAAAAGAAAAAAAAAACACAACCAAAACAGGGACTTTTGGCTCAGAAGGAAGAAGCACTAGTAAACAGAAGTAGGGAAATCAGAAAGCTGTTGTGCAGCTGTTATCTCAATGTGTGTTTCATGGTGCAGGAACTGACTAGTGTTTCTCGACCATGGGAATTTGAAGCATGGCTGGCTGGGGAAATCTGGGAATTGAAGTCCACCCGTCTCCAAGTTGGCAAGGTTGAGAAACACTGGACTGCTAGCTCAGTTCTAAATCCCGACCAGTTCCCAACTGCATGCCAGCACTGGCAACTCAAGTGTCCAAGATGCCCGTCAGCCCACGAGTAGACAAGACCAGGAAATCAACTCTGCAGGGAAGCTAAAACTACTTTTATTAAGAGACTCTTGCAAATCTGATTCTCCTCCACTATTTCCTGACCAGTGAGAACAACTATCCAGTGGAACGACTTGCCTCCAGAAGTCGTGGGTGCTCCATGCCTGAAATGGTATATAGCCTCTCCTGCTCAAGCAGGGGGTTGGACTAGAAGACCTCCAAGGTCCCTTCCAACTATGTTATTCTATGTTTCAAATGCAGCAAAAGATATTTTAAGTATTTGAAGTGTTGATGGGGCATGTCTGAGAGCAATACAACTTAGAGATTGCTCCCATGCTCCGAGAGAATAAAGCTTTTTTAAAATGGGGGGGGGGACTACAGAAACAGCTTTTTTCTAATCTTATTCCCAATAAATGCAGAGTCAAAAGACCCCCCCCCTTAATGCTCCATAAGAGCATCCCATTAACTATACCATTTTGAAGTGGAAGAAAACCTCTGAGCTAGGAAATATTGAATATTTAGCTATTTAAAAGGTCTGAGTTGAGAAATATTTGATACATTTAACAGTGTACTGAAGTTCAGAAGAAAAACTACACTACGCAGTACAAAAGTATTTCTCCTAGTTAAACAGCTCCAAGCCCAATAGAGGATATTTCAGTGATAGGGTTCCTGGCTTATTCCCCATTTCCTCCTAAAGAGTTGCACTTCCAGGGTGGTTGAAAGAAGGAAAGAGATCCTTCTGAACTCAAACTTACTTTTGGTTTTCGTTACCTTTCCTGCTCCAGTCGTGTTACTAGATCAGTGGTGGGTTGCCCCCGGTTTTGACCGGTTCGCAAGAACTGGTAGTAAAACCGGCGGGAGGCCCTGCCCACTGCCCTGGATGTCGTCATCAAAGATCTGCACATGCGCAGAAGCTTCGCTCGCACACACGCGCGATCCTGTTGCGAATCAGTGGTAAAGGTAAGTAGAACCCACCCCTGTACCAGATGTGCCCGCGCCTCAAACTGAACACATTGAGGTGGAGATTGTAAGCAAGAGGTTTATTCTGCAGAAAAAGTGGGGCACAAAGATCTTTCTCAAAGCCTGTTTACCCCACCAACATCCACCGGTGGGTTTTACAAAGCATTTCCCACAGTTTACAAGTCAGAGTCAGAAGGCCTAAATTCCTCTCCCCTTTTTAAATGTAAATTTTAAATTTTAATTTGTTTTAAATTACGGGGTTTTTAAATTCAGCCAAATTATTTAATTCGTTTTTATTTGATTTTAAATTTTTGTATTTATGTGTTTTTATCTTGTGGCTGTTCACCGCCCTGAGTCCTTCGGGAGAAGGGCAGTTTAGAAATTTAATTAATTAATTAAATAAATAAATAAATAAATAAATAAATAAATAAATAAATAAATAAATAAATAAAATAAGAAGGTATTTCCTCATCTCCCTTTAGTTTAGTTTACTTTACTTTATTGTCATTGCACATTGTACAATGAAATTAAACGTCGTCTTCAGTGTACATTATAGCTGTTAAAATAAAAACACAAAGATACATCCTTTACATTCTATATAATTGAAATTGAAAACCCGATATTGCACTATACCGTAGAATTCAATATGGTTATTGCCCTGGGATAACAGCTGTTTTTCAGCCTATTTGTCCTTGTTTTTATTATCCTGTACCGTCTGCCAGATGGTAATAGTTCAAAAAAAAGGGTGCCCAGGATGAGATGAATCTTTAAGAATGTTTTGAGCTTCCTTAAGGCACCGGGAGCTATAAAGCTCTTCCAAAGAGAGGAGAGGGCAACCTTTACAGTAATTCCTGCCTGTTTTACACTAACATTTTAGCCATAGAATAGAATTTTTTATTGGCCAAGCGTGATTGGACACAGAAGGAATTTATTTTGGTGCATATGCTCTCAGTGTACATAAAAGAAAAGATACGTTCATCAAGAATCATAAGGTACAACACTTAATGATAGTCATAGGGTACAAATAAGCAATCAGGAAACAATATCAATATAAATCGTAAGGATACAAGCAACAAAGTTACAGTCATATAGTCATAAGTGGAAGGAGATGGGTGGTGGGAACGATGAGAAGATTAATAGTAGTGTAGACTGAAAAAATAGTTTGACAGTGTTGAGGGAATTATTTGTTTAGCAGAGTGATGGAGTTTGGGAAAAAACTGTTCTTGTGTCTAGTTGTTCTGGTGTGCAGTGCTCTATAGCAGTGGTCACCAACCTTTTTATCGCCGCGGCCCGCTGAGCACGCGCAGGGGTGGGGGCACGGCCCAGGAGCTTTTGCGCACGGCCCATTGCGCACAGCCCAGGAGCCTTTGCGCTGCAGCGTTCATGTCCCCCGGCCGCTGCGCGGCCCGGTGCCAGGTACTCCACGGCCCGGCACCGGTCCGCGGACCGGGGGTTGGGGACCACTGCTCTATAGCATCGTTTTGAGGGTAGGAGTTGAAACAGTTTAGTGTACATAATACAAAGCTAAGCAAAACTATCCTAACATGTACACAGAGTAACTGCAACACTTTCATAAATGTCGCTTCAGCAGTACTAGAGCATAGTTTTCCGTGATACTTCCTATTTTACTAACAGCATACGTCTTCTTTTTAGAGGTGTACAGGGGCAACTCTTTCCTGTTTGTGCCTTTTGTCTTGTCCCGTAGTACATTTGGGGTTATAATTTAGCAAGCTGAAGCATTTACGCCCCTATTCTAAGTTTAACCTGTTAATTGAATCACCAAGGATCCTTCTATTTAGACCAGGGATGGTGAATCTTTGCCTTTTTATGATTTGTAGGCTTCAACTTCCAGAATTCCTGAACTGGCATATCTGAGATGTGTAAGCTAAGCCTTTAGCTACTGTACAAGTTAGGGCATTAACAGAAAACAAACACAATCAATATCATATCTCAGACTAGAAATCAGTTAAACCCAACCAATTTTAGATGGTGCAGACACAACACCAACCATCCAGTGTTTATTTTTGACAAAAAAACTTGAGTCTTGTATTGGTTTAATGGTTCATTCTTTTGCGTCTCTTTCTCCCAGTGAAGTGCTCACTGAAGATCCTATTTCTCTTTGTTCTGGCGTGGCTTAAATATACAACGCAACTCTTATTTTTAGTGGGTTGAAAAGCTTCTGTTGCTTTGGAAGCCCTTCCCATATGCCATGTATTTCTACAGATTGTCCTGGGACACTTCTGTGGGGATGAAGCAAATTTTGAGAATCAACACAAGCCAATTAGCATCGTCTTTTCCTGCTATGCGCCTTCTTATGGCGATTAAAGTCACTCCCGGTTCTGAATTTCTTTCCACACTCCACACACTCATAAGGCTTCTCCCCTGTGTGGAGTCTCTTATGGACTGTAAGATGACTGCTGAGTCGGAAACTCTTTCCACAGTCGATGCATTTAAACGGCTTCTCTCCTGTGTGGATCCTCATGTGGGAGGTAAGAGTGCCACTCTCTCTATAACATTTCCCACACTCCAGGCATTTATAGGGTTTCTCCCCTGAGTGAAGCCTTCTATGGATCTTGAGTGAATGTCTTTGACTAAAGCTTTTTCCGCACTCATGACATGTGTATGGTTTCTCCCCAGTGTGGGTCCTCTTGTGGCTACCAAGGCATCCACTTTTTCTGAAACTCATGCCACACTCCATGCACTTATATGGTTTCTCCCCTGTGTGAATTCTTTTATGGATCGTCAGTTCTCCAGAATCACTGAAGCATTTTCCACACTCCTGGCACTGATATGGTTTCTCCCCAGTGTGGGTTCTGCTATGTACAACATAGCCATTTTTTGTATTGAAGCTCTTTCCACACATGCGGCATTCATATGGTTTCTCCCCAGTGTGGAGCCTTTTGTGACGAGAGAAAGCACTCAAATCAGCGAAGCATTTGTCACATTCGGTGCATTTATAGGGCTTTTCACCCGTGTGGGTCCTTTTATGGAGAGTAAGTTTACATGATTTACTGAAGCACTTCTTACACTCAGAGCATTGATAAGGTTTCTCTCCACTGTGGACACTTCTATGGGAGATTAAGTGGCTGGATTTACGGAAGCTCTTTCCACACTCCAGGCATTTGTATGGTTTCTCCCCTCTGTGGATCCGTTCGTGGGCATGAAGGCCACTAGAACTGACAAAGCGCTTTCCACACTGCAGGCATTGAAAGGGCTTCTCCCCCGTGTGGATTCTCTGATGGGCAGTAAGGTTTGATAAGAAATGGAAGCTCTTTCCACACTCCATGCATTGAAATGGTTTTTCCCCCGTGTGGATCCTCTCATGTGATTTAAGATGAACTTTTTGACTGAAGCTCTTTCCACAGTGCAAGCATTTATAAGGCTTCTCCCCTTTATGCATCCTATTATGTTTAGTTAGTGTATCACGTCTATTGAAGCTTTTTCCACACTCCAAGCATTCATAGGGTTTCTCCCCTGTGTGAATTCTTTTATGGGAAGTAAGGTTACCTGGGGCCTTGAAGCATTTCCCACACTCTGTGCATTTATATGGCTCTTCTCCGGTATGGACCCTCTTATGTAAATTGAAATTGCCTTTTTGTGTGAAGCTCTTTCCGCACTCCGTGCAATGATACGGCTTTTCCCCTGTATGGGTCCTATTATGATAAGTGAGATCACTTGCATAGCGGAAGCTCTTCCCACATTCCAGGCATTTACATGATTTATTCCCAGTGGGGCTTTTTTTCCGGGAATTCAGTTCCTTGCTCCAAGTAAACCTCGTTCTACCCTCCCTGCGTCGATACAACTTCTCCTCTCTGTGGATGCTTTGATGTGAAGTAAGGGAGGTGCTGGTTCTGAAGGTCTTTCCACAGGTGATGCATTGATGCTGCTGCTTCTCTTCGTGGACCCTCTTATGTGAATTAAGGTGATTTTTCTGCCTGAAGGTCCTTCCACAATCCAGACATTTGTGTGGATCCTCTGCTTTGTGAATTTTTTTATGTGATGCAAAGGAGCGGCTTGTATCGAAGCTTTCTGCACACTCCGTACATTTGTACATTTCCCTTCCTTCTTGTATGCTTTCATGTAAAGGAGGAGGAAGGGTCCCTCTGGAGTGTTGCCTGCTTTCATCTTGTTTCTCTCCAGCAGGGCTTTCACAAGACTCACATAATCCCAATTCGTCTCGGAGTGTTTTCCCACACCTTGAACACACTTCTTTTTTTTTCGCAATCATCTGTGTCCAATAAGACATTGGGATCTGGACAAGGTAAACCAGAGCAATTCTCCAGCTCAACCGTTAACTGGCTTTCCTCAGAACTTTGCTTTCCATATATTTTTTCTGCAACTTCTTTTTTGTCTTTTGGCAAAGACGCTGCTGCCTCTTGGCCAGAATCCTCCATCTCCCATCCGTCACCTGCTTGCAACAGAAAAAAAAAAGAAAAGTTAACACAAACTTAAATGCAAAAGGGATCAAGCGCCGTTACCGTGTTTGAACAATATCAAACTTCCTCCCAAATCCCATTTGTTTCAAACACGGTGCTATGCTTGGTATTAAAGTAATATAAGATTTGGCCTTTGGGTCTTTCTTATTCTCAATAGTACAGAATAAAAACCTGAAGATTTTGGATAAGATCATTGAACCTTTTTGGGGGGAGGAGGGAACCATCCACTCAATTGCTTCATATTTAGTTTCAAGGCAGCAGAAGGGACACTTAAAAGTGGCCCATGTTCGTTCAATCATTCCTTCATTCGTTCCTTCATTCATTAATTTATTGGCCTCTCAGCTTGCCATAGGTAAACCCTGGATGGCTTCTGATATTAAAAAGATAAAAACTACATAAAACCTATACCCAATAATGTAAAATATTATAAAAATATAAATATTCAATCCTAACTAAAAGATAATAGACTTGATGATGGAGAGCCTAGTGGTTTAATTTTAATCTGAGAAGGTAGAAATTTTTTTTTATTGAAAAGTTTTTACAAACATTTTAACCAAGTTTTGAGCCCCACCTCCCTCCCCATTACCCCTCCCTCCCCTCCCCCTTCTTCCCGCCTCCGACTTCTCAGAGCGAAATACAGGCTATTTCATTTAGCAATCTTAATCTAACATATGCTAACTATCTATAAACTCTTTTCATCCCTTTTTTCACTTTAACTCCCTATTTACGTAGCTAAGTAATAACATATCTTCTTAAATCCAAATATTCATTCATATACTATTTGAAACTTTTTAGTCCCATATTTGTTTTGAATATAATCAATTCATCTTCTCCAGTCCACAATATATCTTTCTTGTGATTGGTCTTTCAAATATGCTGAGATTTTCGCCATTTCTGCTAAGTTCGATACTTTTAATGTCCATTCTTCTATAGTAGGTAGATCTTCTTTCTTCCAATATTGCGCCACTAACAGTCTTGCTGCCGTTATTAAATTTAACATCAAATTAGTTTCAATAACAGTACAGTCTGAGATAATACCCAGCAAAAATAACTGTGGGGTGAAACTTATCTTTTTCTTAAAAATCTTCTGCATAATCCACCATATTTTTATCCAGAAAGCTTTAACTTTTTTACACGTCCACCATATATGATAATAAGTTGCATCATCACAATCACATCTCCAACACTTAGGTTGTTGGTTCGGATACATACATGCTAATTTTTTAGGATCTAGATGCCATCTATAGAGCATTTTATAAAAATTTTCTCTCAAGTTTTGTGCTTGTGTAAATTTCACATTTCTAACCCAAATTTTTTCCCAAGTTTCCATCATTATTGGTTCCTGGATATTCTGTGCCCATTTTATCATACAATCTTTAACTAATTCAGTTTCTGAATCTATTTCTATCAATGCATTATATAACCTTTTTATATGCAATTGACCTTGATCTCTAATTTGTTTTACCAAATTTTCATCAGTTTTTATGATACCAATTTTCTGATCCTCTTTCCATCTCGCATGTATCTGTCCAAACTGAAACCAAGTCTGGGCTATCTTTTCTTCTCTTAATACATTTAAAGTCTTTAATTGCAATATATTCCCTTCCGTTATAAGAAGTTCCTTATATGTAATCCTATCTTGTTTCTGTTCCACACTTACATTTTCTATTGCATGTCTGGGTATTGCCCATATAGGTATTTTGTGATTTAATTTATATTGATATTTTCTCCAGACACGCAACAGAGCATTCCTTAATTTGTGAGTCTTAAAAACATTATCCGTCTTTTTATCATACAACAGATACGCATGCCATCCATATAATAAATCATATCCCTCAATATTCAATATTCTATCTTCCGTTAAATTAAACCAGTCACTAATTGTTGATAAAACAGCTGCATCATAATATAATCTCAAATTAGGCATTTTAAGACCTCCTCTTTCACGTACATCTTGCATTATCTTAAGCTTTACTCTTGGTCTTTTCCCTGCCCAAATAAATTTATTAATACCTTTTTGCCATTCGTTCAAGTTCGCATCTTTCTTAAGTATTGGTATCATTTGAAACAAAAATAAAAATTTTGGCAGGATATTCATTTTCACCGCTGCAATTCTTCCCAACAGGGACAACTGTAATTTATTCTATCTTTCAATCTCTTTTTGTACCTTTTGCCACAACAATTCATAATTATTTTTATATAATTATTAAAGAAAGTAGAAATTTTGAGGGACTTGGACCTGGAACTGAGCTTCAGCCTCATATCCACGAAGAGGTTTTACCTTGAAAAAAACTGGTTGTCACTCAGGTGACACCTGTGGGGGCACCTACTATCTGGAACGAGCTCCCCCCCCGAGATACGGAGGATTCCGGATCTGCGTACCTTCCGTCGCACGCTTAAGACGTTCCTATTCCATCAAGCTGGCCTGACCTAAACTCTTTCTCTTTTTAAATGGGAATTTTAAATTTGGTTTTAAATTATTGGGGTTTTAAAATGGTTCAGCCAAATTTATTTAATTTCTTTTATCTCTATTTAAAATTTTGTATTTATATGTTTTATTTTATGGCTGTTCACCGCCCTGAGTCCTTCGGGAGTAGGGCGGTATACAAATTTAATAAAATGAAAAAAAAAAAATCATCTTTATCCCACAGGTGCTTTTTTTTTTCCTTGAAGATGTTTCAACTCTCATCCAAGAAGCTTCATCAGTTCTGACTGAATGGTGGAGGATGGAAGGATTGATATTCCTTGCAGTCAACTGGTCATTAGCACTGTTTCAGACCAGATGACTGCAAGAAATATAAATCCTTCCATTCTCCACCATTCAGTCAGAACTGAAGAAGCTTCTTGGATGATAAATGAAATGTCTTCAAGCAAAGACCAAGAAAGTCCAGTTGCCGTTTGAAAAAGCTCCTCTGGGCCACCAAGACCTGGATGACTGAGAATCTTTATAAATATTCATTCATCTTTAGTTGTTCCTGCATTTGCAGGTAGCACTACAAAAAGGGAAGCATTGGAGAAAATGGGAGGGGTTACAGTTGGAAGATCCCATCTGCAGAGGGACCTGGCAGATCAGACAGACCACTTCTCTAGTAGTTACATCTTTGTGATAAACCCATGGACTCTTATCGGGCTCTTAAGTGCCATCATTATAGACCAAAAAAATCCCAGCAAAATGAAAGCAACTTCTAAAAAAGATATGTACAAAGTGGGGCAGACAGAATCAGAAACTGGCTAGGACGGGAAACATCATGGTTTTAGGCCATTTTATCAGACTTAGTAGGAGTAGAAATGTAGACACTCTTTTCTACTGCATACAGTGAATAAATAAGCTGTCAGTGTTCCAGAAAAACCCCAACTCCCAGTAAAGACGCTGAAGCAAACATTTTTCCAAAGTCCTCTTTACTAGAATAGGCAAACTGGCACATCTTCGAAAACCCGAGTCTGAAAAGCCCGGGTTTTCCTTCAGTAAGTCAAAGCTCCCAAAACCATCCCCTTTCTCCCCAGTCGATCACATGCTCCAATCAATGTCCGTTCCATCCCAATCCAGCCCCCTGATCTCTCCTTCTCCAGATGCTGGATCGCCCTGACTTTGACCGACAAGAAGAATGCTATTATGTCTATAACCCCCTCTCCTAAATCCCCCCTCCTACTTTCCCACACATTAGAAGATGGCAGCACTGGAGCTTCCCGCCTAATATGGCTTCCAAAGCTGACATAAGCATTTTATCTGAGAAACAGATCAGGCGCTCACAACCATCACCATTTCAGTCCAGGGAAAAGAGAATCTGTCAAGAAATTGTGCAGCAGGTGTCCAAAAAGGTCAGAGATGCTGACACAAGCTTCTAGTTTTATGTAAATTAATATATTTGACATCAATATTTACAGTAAACAAGAACATCAGGTTAACAGGAGCATCATGAGGTAAACGAACACCACAGCATCATCATGAGGTAAAATTACCAAGCCCACAGAGAAAAAAGGTGGGAAACCGAACACTCCCCCTTTACACTCACACTAACCAATCACAGCATAGACTGCCTCATGCAGGAGACAGCTCTCTCCAACCAATCAGCTATAGCTGTGTGTTCTGACTCCTTCTACAATTCCACTGTTCCAGCTACTAAATTTCAATATCTCAACAGAATCCCTTACCTAAGGAGGCAACGTTCCTCTTGTTTTCCAGCATGACCTCCCGGTACAAGGCTCTTTGCTCAGAATCCAGCAGGGCCCACTCCTCCACGGAGAAAAACACAGCTACATCCTCAAGCGATACCAAATCCTGACACAGGGAGAGGAAAAAAACCACAATGTATTCCATGAGAATTCCTAACAATGAACACTTCAATTAATTACTTGCAAGTCCTCTTCTTGATGAACATATTCCACCTACAAAGTTTCCAAGCAGGGCAAATTTGCATCTTCTCTAGAGAACCTTTCCAAAAACATAAAGTGCAAAAAGCCTCTGGCTAGAGATACATCTAGGTAATGCGCTATTAGTTTGGCCAATTCCGCAGGAGCAGCAACCTCATATTCCTTTGCTTTCTGCTGATGCAGGGGTGAAATCCAGCAGGTTCTGACAGGTTCTGGAGAACTGGTAGCAGAAATTTTGAGCAGTTTGGAGAACCGGCAAATACCACCTCTGACTGGCCCCAGAGTGGGGAGGGAATAGAGATTTTGCAGTATCCGTCCCCTGTCACGCCCGCCAAGCCACACCCATCAAGCCACACCACGCCCACAGAACCGGTAGTAAAAAAATTTGGATTTCACCACCACACTGATGGGCTAGAGCTTGGATGTGTTGGGCCAATCCAACATTGAGTTAATTTTACCCAATGCAATGAGCCAATGAATCGTGCCAAATCAAGGAAGGTGGGGTTCAACATTTAATTTCTGTGTAAAAGTAAACCTTGGGTTTTACTTTTGACTTTGGGGTTTCATGAGAAGTATTAGTAGTGCTTTATAAAGCCTTATTAAAGCCACACCTGGAGTACTGCATCCAGTTTCGGCCACCATGTTACAAAAAGATGTGGAGATAATTAAAGGCCCGGAGAGTAAAACATGAAGAACGGTTGCAGGAATTGGGTATGGCTAGTCTAGAGAAAAGAAGGACTAGGGGTGACACGATAGCCGTATTTCAGTATTTGAAGCTGCAACAAAAGAGGGAGTCAATCTTTTCTCCAAAGCATGAGAAGGCAAGACAAGAAACAATGAATAAAAACTAATAAAGGAGAGAAGCAACCTGGAATTAAGGAGAAACTTCCTGACAGTGAGAACAACTAACCTTGTGCACGGGTATCAAATTCGTGAATTACATTCATACAACATGCGTGTATATCAATGGTGGGATTCAAAAATTTTTACTATCAGTTCTGTGGGCATGGCTTTGTGGGCACGGCAGGGGAAAAACTGTAAAATCTCCATTCCCTCCCAGTCAGTTGGGACTTGGGAGGCAGAGAATAGAAGGGGGCGGGGCCAGTCAGAGGTGGTATTTACCAGTTCTCTAAACTACTCAAAATTTTCACTACCGGTTCTCCAGAACTGGTCAGAACCTGCTGAATACCACCTCTGGTCTGTACCAGATGTCAAGCTCAAGCATAGGAGACAAGGAAGAAGCCTCCCCAAAGAGTGCAGGAATCCTACACTCGGAGGTCCCTGAGCAACGACACAGTTGATAATTCTTTCACAATGGCAGCCAAACAATCCTTGCAATTCCCTGCCTTAAAACACATCACCATGAGACGACCTCAGGAAAACAGTCCTCCTAAGGATTTAGCATGCAGGTACTCCTTGACTTCCAACAGCTCGTTTAGTGACCGTTTGAAGTTACAACAGCACTGAAAAAAGATGACTTACAACTATTGTTCACACTTACAACCATTGCAGCATCCCCACAGTCACGAGATTAAAATTCGGACACTTGGCAACTGACTCTTACTTATGACGGTTGCAATGCCCTGGGGCCATCTGAGTCCTCTTTTACGACCTTCTGACAAGCAAAGTCAATGGGGAAGCCAGTTTCATGTGTTGCTAACTTAACTGCGGTGATTCGTTTAATGACTGTGGCAAGAAAGTTCGTAAAATGAGGCAAAACTCGCTTAACAAATCTCGCTCTTAGTAACAGACATTTTGGGCTCGGTTGTGGTCATTTGGTGAGACTATCTAGGAGTCTCGCACCAATCATTCAAATAATGCAAATCACCCTGAAGGAATAAGCAGAGCTAAGTGCCAATAACTGTTGAGTGCCTTACACTAAACAAATAAATAAATGCTCAAGTGTGTCTTGCAAAAACCTGGTGTAAAAGATAAGACAGCAGTCATTTAATAGTAGGACACATACAGGTGGTAGCAATGACAGCATGTAGGGTTCCAGTCCATTTAGGTTTAGTGGAGTAAAATGTAGGGGGAGGTCATACTAAATATTTGCCACGTTAACCTAGGGAAGCTGTTTCTTTCTACTTTTTCCTATTTTTGAATCCTGCATGCAACTTTCCTGTATCTTCTGGTTGGATTTATATTTCTTGCAGACAGCTGATTAAATTGCAGACTACAGGAACCAGGAGCGCTACTCAGGTGACCCTGAGGACACAGATAAACCTCCAAGTGCTTCAAGGACCCTCTAAAAGGATGCAAATGACCAGCTGTCTGCAAGGAAGATAAAAACCTTCAGTTCCCCACCATCCTGTCAGAGCTGAAGAAGCTTCTTGGATGAGAAGCAAAACGTCTTCAAAGAAAAAAAAAACTGGAACTGGAAGACACGAGGTGATTATTGTTTGGAAGAATGGTATAAGGAAGTATGGGATATTGCCATAAATGATAAACTGACTTGTAATATTAAAGTAAGGAGGGGCATAATGAAAGTAAACGAATTCAATGGAATCTGGAAACAGTTCCTAATATATGTGTTGTCTGGAGGAAGGGGGATACCACCACCAGAAGAAGCTTTAAGATTTTGGAAGCAGGAATGATCCCGAGGGGTGGGGGAGCACTCACTGATTGTTTGTATTGTGTATATTGTTATATATTATATATTATGATTCATGTATGTTAATAAAAAAATTTTAAAAAAGGAAAAAAAAAAAGAAAGTCCAGTTGTCTCCTGGAAAAGCACCTTTGGGACATTTTAAGGGAGGAGAGAATCCTCCTACCTGAGTCGGAAGCTCAACCGCTGTTAATCCTCCGCTACAAAGAACCGAGGTTCCAGGAGATGAAGACGAGGCCATGAGAGTGTCTAGGAGTGGGGGAAAAAACAGCAAAGGAATAATTGGCCATCAAACATCCTAACCATATTCTTGAAGCTACAGTGCAGAAGGGCGATTCTACATATCTTTATGCTAACTAGGGAATCAGTTTACTTGAATACTTTGCAACCACAGCAACAATACATAGAAGCTGCTAACATTGGGTGAGAGGAAAACTGAAAGGTGTGGAAGGACCAGGGACTGGATTCAGAGGCAGATTATTTCAGCCATGAATTTACGTATTAAAGCACCACAGAGGTTGACTCTGGTTGCCTCAAGTAGATCCCACCCCATATTCAGGGAGTTGTGCTGAGTTATTAATCAGGAATACTAGGTCTGGCCTGGCACCAACAAAGAGACACAGTCCAATTCTCTCTGAGTCACACATATACAGGTAGTCCTCAGTGGTGGGTTTCAAAATATTTTACTATCGGTTCTGTGGGCGTGGCTTGGTGGGCATGGCATTACTTGGTGGGCATGGCTTGGTGGGTGTGGCAGGGGAAGGATACCGTAAAATCTCCATTCCCTCCCCACTCCAGGGGAAGGATACTGCAAAATCCCCATTTCCTCCTGATCAGCTGGAACTTGGAAGGCAGAGAATAGATGGGGGTGGGGCCAGTCAGCATTTTTTTTTTTTTAATTTGATTTATATGCCGCCCTTCTCCGAAGACTCAGGGCGGCTTACAATGTGCTCAGCAATTTTTACTACCAGTTCTCCGAACTACTCAAAATTTCCGCTACCGGCTCTCCAGAACTGGTCAGGACCTGCTGAAACCCAACTCTGGTAGTCCTTGAATTACAACCATTCATTTAGTGACTGTTCCAAGTTACAACAACACTGAAAAAAATGACGATTGTTTTGCACACTTATGACCATGGTCACATGATCAAAATTCAGACAGTTGGCAACAATTGGCTCATATTTATGATGGTTGCAATGTCCCTGGGTCATGTGATCACCTTTTGCAACCTTCTGTGAGAAGTTTGCAAAATCGGGACCCGTACCTGCTTACTACTGATTTATTTTATTTTATTTTTTATTAGATTTTTATACCGCCCTTCTCCTACTGGACTGATGCTGTCCCTGATCCAGTTGCCTGGGTTGCTATTATCTCAGGGAACTTGGACTAGGTCCAGCATTAATAGGAAATTACCTGCAATACTTCAGGAATATTAAAACCCACTTTAACACATTGTATCGTATATCATAATCAAGGAATGGTTGTATTTATGAAGGTTTTGGGGGTCGTGGACCCAGCACGCAAATCAGCTTTGATTAACTTACGAAAAATCAGAGGTGGACTTGTGTGCGATGGCCTTGTGTCCCCGAGTATGTGGAAATTGTGCTGTGTATGTTGAAAATGTGCTTTGCAAGCAGGGTAGCTGCTTAGCTGGCAAGATGGTGGTGTGCTAAGATCCTGGGAAAAACGTATGTTGGTCACATATATAAAAATAGTTATGTTGTGACATTTAGGCTGAAGTAATGAGCAACTGCCCTGTTGCTTACGGCAAGGTGTCAGAATGACCAAAAGTCATGTGTCTTTGTGGACTTCAGGTATGTAAGGCAAGAGTGAAGAATGGGAGGTGTTCAATCAGTCTCAAGCTGTCCTGTTCCCTTGGCTGCTTGTCTGATTGACCCTCATTGCAATGCGATCAATGCAGTGGTGAAATCCAAATTTTTTTACTACCGGTTCTGTGGGTGTGGTTTGGTGGGCGTGGTGTGGCTTGGTGGGCGTGGCTTGGTTTGGCAGGCGTGGCAGAAGGATAGTGCAAAATCTCCATTCCCACCCCACTCTGGGGCCAGCCAGAGCTGGTATGTGCTGGTTCTTTGAACTACCCAAAATTTCTGCTACTGGTTCTCCAGAACCTGTCAGAACCTGCTGGATTTCACCCCTGGATTAATGTAAGTACTTTATGTTTATTATGCTCTAAATTCTGATAAACCTCAGAATCCTAAAGTGAGACTTTTTGTGGTGTGCTGTCTGTTCAATTTGTCAGGGTATGAAGAGTTAATAGCTGTAAGCTGATCAGAGGTTTGTAAACTGAGGCAATCGGAAGCTGATGCAATGGATTGAGGCAGCAGGGTTACTGCCACTTTAAGAATGAGGACCCGGTTTGTGGGAGCAATAAGCTGACTTTGTATAAAAATATACAAAAGTATGAAAGCTATTGCTTAACGCATTGTAAGCCGCCCTGAGTCTCCGGAGAAGGGCGGCATATAAAAATAAATAAAAATTAAAAAAAAGAAGAAGAAGCTGGGTTAGAAGCTGCCTATAAGGGAAGCCATTAGAGGGTGTTCCCTTCTCCTCATGTCTTCTCCCCATGTATTATACTCATGGATGGGGAGAAACAGGCTCCGACTCAACCCCTCCAAGACCGAGTGGCTGTGGCTTCCAGCGTCCCGATATAGCCAGCTGACGCCATCGCTGGCTATTGGGGGCGAATCACTCGCCCCCACGGAGAGGGCTCGCAACTTGGGCGTCCTCCTGGACGCACAGCTGTCTTTAGAAGACCATTTGACGGCCGTGGCCAGGGGGGCTTTTTATCAGGTTCGCCTGATACGCCAGTTGCGCCCCTTTCTAGATCGGGACTCTCTACGCACAGTCACTCAGGCACTAGTCACTTCCCGCCTGGACTACTGCAACGCTCTCTACATGGGGCTCCCCCTGGGGTGCACCCGGAGGCTCCAGCTGGTCCAGAATGCGGCCGCGCGGGGGATTATGGGGGCGACGAGGCGCTCCCATGTGACACCTCTCCTGCGCGAGCTGCACTGGCTCCCGGTAGTCTTCCGGGTGCGCTTCAAGGTGTTGGTGACCACCTTTAAAGCGCTCCATGGCTTAGGGCCGGGGTACTTACGAGACCGCCTACTGCCACCAATAGCCTCCCACCGGCCAGTACGCTCGCACAGAGTGGGCCTCCTCAGGGTGCCGTCCGCCAGACAATGTCGGCTGGCGACCCCCAGGGGGAGAGCCTTCTCTGTGACGGCGCCCACCCTCTGGAATAACCTTCCCCCGGAGTTACGTATAATAACAGACCTCCGGATTTTTCGTCGGGCCCTGAAAACTTATTTATTTCAACTAGCTGGGCTGGCTTGAGCTAAATTTTAAATTGGTTTTAAATTGGGTTGTTTTAATTTACGGCCAGAATATCTAATTATTTTAATACTGTTTTTTAAATTTTGTATGCTTTGTTTTTACTTAGGCTGTGCACCGCCCTGAGTCCTATTTGGAGAAGGGCGGTATAGAAATTTAAACAAATAAATAAATAAATAAATAAATGTTCTCTCATTGTGTATCTCAATTGCTCTCCGTGTATCAGTAGCTGTAAAGGTATTTAACCACATATAAGTCTGTAAATATTTAGCTGTAGATAAAACCACTGTTATTTATCTAAAGGTGCTTGTGTGCTGTGTTTTGCTCCTGGGTTTATCTCATAATACTAATTACGCTGCCTAAACGCTGATGAGGTAGACCAACCTTTGATTCAGGCAAAAGGTTTGATATTAAAGTCTCAAAACGTTGGTCAAGGCTAAAAGTTCCTCCTCCTGCCAGGAAGGAGTTGCTGAGATGACACAAGGCATTTTTATCTGTAAAAGAGCAGACTGACCCAGACAGATGCATCCTGTTGTTCGCTTCTGCATTCCACCCTAAATGTCATGTATAACATATGATAGTGTATGCAACTCCCTGTATATTCATGTGACTCCCTTTTCTGCCTTATTTATTACCAAATGTCTGGAAAAGGCGTCTTTCAGTTCCTCTTAATACCATATATGTCTAAATGTACCACCCAGATGACGTACACGTAATATAGAGTATATATGTTATATATGTTTCCAAGACAAAGGGTTTGGTGAGCACATGCATTTTTCCATATATGGTTAACATACACTTGTTATATGATAATTGACACTTCCTAATTACTAAACCATTATTTTCTAGTTTATAAGATTATCTGTAGCTAGACAACCTTCCTTAGTTCTGTAATTACTAATATGGGAGATTTATTGCTGTCCTTAGGTAATAATGAACTCTTTGTAACATACATGTCCTTGTGTCTTTGACAGTGAGGCCCCTCAGATGTTTTCCATATGGCTGTTCTTCCGTGACAGCTAGGCCTCATCAGAAGATATATTACCAATAATGGGATTTAGCTGATTTTTAATATAATCTCCAAACAAGCACATTTCTCCCTTATAATAATGGGAATAGAGAGGGTCCTTTAGTGTTCATGTAACTGACCCTGTATATTTCCTACTTTATTCACATTACTAATGTATCTATAAAAAAGTTGTAACCTGCAAGTATGCTGAAATAGTATGTCTCAATACTGTTGGTAGCTGAGCTTGCAGGGTGAGGAGAGCTCCATGCGATCAAGGGAAAAGAGGAACTATACATACCCAATTCCAGCAACCGTTGTTTATGTGTTTTAGCCTCCAGTCCCCTAATCATCTTTGTTGCTCTTCTCTGGACTCTCCATCATCAGAATCCCGATCCACATAATGTTCACACACACACACACACCCCATCAGATCATCCCAGGAGAAAGAAAAACTGTTTTCACAGGTGGGATTTGCCCTTTGGAATAGCCTACTACAGCAATGTTTCTCAACCTTTTAAAATACATGGACATCAACTCCTAGAATTCCCCAGCCAGCCATCCTATCTTAAAAGTTGCCAAGTTAAAAGTTACAGGCTGGCCTATAGGAAAAGAGTGGTACCTGTTTAAATGCACCCAAGACTTTAAAAACACAGTTAAATTAAACAATGAAAAGGAATTCACGAATGAAATTAAGTCAGGAATGAAATTAACTCGGGCAAAGTCAATCCTGAGGATTAAAGGGCATCAGCAGGAGCCTTTACCTGATGCTCTCTCCCCAAGGAGAAGGTGGGGGCTGCAGGAGCGATCTTAGGAGCTCCCCAAGAAGCTGCCTTGAAGGGTCTCCTGTCCAAGCATTTCCCCAGGTGGGAAGACGGGAGGGAGGAAAGAGGGAGCATCTTACCTGGCGCTCGATAGGAAAGAGGCGGCTCTCTTCCTCGCCCGGACTCCGCTTCCCAAAAAGATGCGCTCAGGAACGGATCCGCGATCCGTTTTCCACGCAGTCACGCTCCCTTCCTTCCTTCCTTCCCGGCCACGCACGTGGATCCCCCTTCTCGGAACGGCCCCAGCCAGGACTTTGCAGACCCCAAGCAGGAGGCTCTTATAGCTCCTCCCCTCCCCGTCCAGCTCCTCCCATTCTCTAAAGGAGGGGAGGACGCCGCCCACTCGGGGGTCCCCCTGCCTGCGCCCTTCCTTTTGCAAGGGGGGAAGCGGTCCCGCGTGGGATGCTCAGCTGGGCAGGGAGTCCAGGGCTGCTTCTCCCGAGGCAATCAGGGAAACGGGGACAGAGGGAGGGGACGAAGCCCAGGGAAGGGGGGGGGAGGGAAGGGAAAGCGATGTTGAGCAGCACAGTTAGAAGGGACTCGTCCTTTAACAGAATAACAGAGTTGGGGTGGGGGGGGGGAAGAGATCTTGGAGATCTTGTAGTGACTAGAAGACCTCCAAGGTCCCTCTCAGCTCTTCTTCTGTTAAAGGATGATTCCTTCCTAACTTTGCTGCTCTGATTCCTGTTATGTAAATAGGTTTTCTTGGCGGGAAGTTTGAACTAACTGACCCTCAGCTGATTGGCTGACCACCACAGCTGCATAAAGGGAGCTGTTTCCCTAGGTCAGCCGCTGGGTTCTCACCCTACAATAAAGAGCTGTTGTCACTCACTGCCTGCCTTGCTGCGTCCTCATTCACCCAACTTCCCTTTCTCTCCCCCCCCCCCCACTCCCATCCCTGGGATTTGTCCCCTCCCTCTCTCCCCTGTTTCTCTGACTGCCTCGGGGTTGGACTAGAAGACCTCCAAGGTCCCTCACGCCTCTTTTATTCTGTTAAATGACAATAAAGTTTATTATTATTAATAATAATATTAATAATTAATAATATTTAATAATAGTATTAAACATTGTTGTTGTTGTTATTATTATTATTATTATTATTATTATTATTATTATTATTATTATTATTATTATTATTATTATTATTATTTAATCTTTAGTGAGATTCACAGCCTTTGAGGCTGGTTAATGGCTCAGCAGCTGAGTCCTAACCAAGGACCTAGGAACTGTGTCGGAGGATATAAGTAGTTGTTGTTGTTATTATTAAAGGATGATTCCTTCCTAACTTTGCTGCTCCGCATCCCTTTCCCTTCCCTCCTCCCATCCTGGGCTTCCTCCCCTCCCCCCCCTCCCCCGTTCCTCTCCCTGGGGCAAAGAAGCAATGGACTCGCCCTCCAGCTGACCATCCCACGGGGGGAGCGGGGTGGGGCAAGCAGGGGCACCCGGAGTGGGCGGCGCTCTCAGGCCTTTAGAGAGTGGGAGGAGCTTTAACCGGAGAGGGGAGGAGCTACAAGCGCTTCCTGTCTGGTTCTGTGCAGACTCCTGGCTGGGGTCGTTCCGGGGAGGGGGATCCAGGTGCGAGTCCGGCGGCGATCCTGGGCGCCTCTCTTGGGGAGCGGAGTCCGGGCGAGGAAGAGAGCCGCCTCTTTCCTATGGAGCGCCAGGTGAGCAGCTCCTTCCTCCCTCCCTCCCTTCCTTCTTCCCACCTGGGGAAATGCTCGGACAGGAGACCCTTCAGTGCAGCTTCTTGGGGCGCTGCTAAGATCCTCCTGCAGTCCCCACTTTCTCCTGGGGGAGATGATGATTATTATTACTATTATTATTCCTGGTCGTTTCCCGTCCTTTTCCTTTTCTCCGGGGCCGCTTCAGATCCGGGAGGCTGGGAGTTCAAGGGCTGCGGAAGCGGCGGGGAGAAAAGGGGGCGATCCCTCCCAGGAGCCCTTGTGTCGAGAGGAGCCGCCTCCGGAGGGAGCATCGGGGAAAGGCTCCTTCTGAGGCCCTTTAATCTCTTCGCCCTCGTTGCTTTCATCCCTCCGATTCCTTTCCATTCTTCAATTTAACTGGGTTTTTGAAGTCTTGGGTGCATTTATCGGCCTTCTCCTGTGGGCCGCTGTTTCTCAGCCTTGGCAACTTTGTGGTGTGTGGATTTCTGCTCCCAGAATTCTCCATGTGTGTTGAAGTCCACCTATTTTACAGCTCCCAAGATTGGGAAAGGTTGCTGAGGCCAGGGGTGGGGAACTAGGGCCCTTTTAGGACTGGTGGACTTCAACTCCCAGAATCCCCGAGCCAGCTGTGTCAGGAATTCTGGGAGTTGAAGTCCACCAGCAATAAAAGGGCCCTAATTTTCCTCTTTTACAGTGGGGTATTCCAAAGGGCAAGTCCCAGCTTTGAAAAGAGTTTCTATCATCTGATAAGGACGGTGGACATTATATAAACATAGAATAACATACTTGGAGTTGGGAGGGACCTTGGAGGTCTTCTAGTCCAACCCCCTGTTTGAGGAGGAGGAGTCTATACCATTTCAGACAATTGGCTGTCCAGTCTCTTCTTAAAAGCCTCCAGTGACCTTAGTCAGGATTCTGGGGATCAAGATTCGTACCTTGAAATGGCTGAAAGAAAGACCTGGGTCCCATATCTGGGGAAGGTGAGAGAGAGAAACCACAACTGTCTTGCTAAAAATCCTTAAGGCTACAGGATGTCGGCATGGCTTCTTTGGTACCTTCCTTACTGTATCTCCTGTCAATCAAACAACTGTATTTCCTGCTGATGTCACTGAAATATAAAAGAATTAAAGAAATCATTCCAGATCAATCCCAGCCATTGTCCAAATCTGAATACAGGTAGTCCTTGACTTAGGACCACAATCGAGCCCAGAATTTCTGTTGCTTGGCGTGATAGTGGCTAAGTGTGTTTTCCCCCTTTTTATGACCTTTCTTGCTACAGTTGTTAAGTGAAGCCACTGCCGTTGTTCAGTTAGTAACACGGTGGTTGAGGGAATCTGGCTTCTCTATTGACTTTGCTTGTGGGAAGATTGCAATGGGATCACGTGACCCTGGGACTCTGTAGCCGTTACAAATAGGAGCCAGTTGCCCAGTGTCCAAATTTTGATCAGGTGACCATGGGGATGCTGCAAAGGTCCTGTGAAAAGCTGCCAAGAGTCACGTTTTTCAGTGTCCTGGTAACTTTGAAGAGTCACTAAATGAATGGCTGTAATTCGAGGACTACCTGTATACGTGAGAGACAATTTGGACTCTGTCTCTTTGTTGGTGCCAGGCCAGATCTAGTACTCCTGACTAACAACTCAGCACAACTCCCTGGAAATGGGAGCAGATCTGCTTGAGGCCTCCAGAGTCCAGCCCTCTGGTGCTTTAATACATACATACATGAGGTTGCTGCTCCTCTGGCATCGGACAAACCAATAAAACATTAACTAGATGTATCTCTAGCCAGAGGCACTTTATGTTTTTGGAAAGGTTCTCCAGGGAAGATGTTCGGTCATGAAATTGCCCAGCAGCTGTCTAGTCAGAGACACTGACACAGACTTGTAGATTTTATATAAATATAAATATGTTTAACCTACAAATTTACCGCAGTCTTTGTCATCATCCAGAAAAGGAAGAACATAAGATAGTCAGGAACATCATGAGGTAAATCTAAAACAACATACAGAACACACAGAAGGAAAAAAGGAGGGAAAAAAGGGAAACGCCCCCTTATACTTACAGTAACCAATCATAGCGTAGATTGCATCATGCATGAGTCAGCACTCTCTAACTAATCAGTTACAATTGTGTTCCGGCCTATTTGTACACTTTACTGTTTCAGATTCTAAATTCAATATCCTAACATGTTTGTTTGCCCTACTTGAAAACTAGAGGTTTTTCATTAAGAAGTAGACTCAAATGTAATTCATTGAAGTGCCTTCTGCCGTGCCCTTAAAACTTTCTTTTTCCAACAAGCCGGCTGCCCTAATTCTTTTTAAGGGTTTTTAATTGTTTTGTTTATCGTTTTAATTAATGGGGCCAAATCTATATATATATTTTTAACTGTATTTTAATATTTGTATTTGTCTCAGCTCTCTCGCCGTCACCCGTAGTCGGAAATAAACCACGCTGCAAGTCAATGAGAGTTTGGAGCAGGAAACGGTTTATTCAGCGTCCAAGAGTGGTGCAAATAGTTGCTGAGTTCAGATAAGGATAATACAAAGTCGGCGTTGGGCGGCGGCGCCACTTAACGCTGTTTAAATACTCGCGCCCCTCACCGCCCTTCCAGGCTCCTCCTTGCCGGCACGCCCCATTCACCAGGGTCAATTCGTAGCAGCTGTTCCACGCCCTACCGCGGCCGCCAGGTGACCGTCCGCCTGCCTACCTAACACCCCCCTCCACCAATCTGTGCTAAGGGAATGAACCCAACCCCCACCCCCATAGCCTCATCGTGTAATCTTGCATCTGCAGGAGCACTCGTTATCAACGTGTCGAGTGTGGGATCTCGACAGGCGGCTCCCCCTACCAGGGGTCCACCTGTAAAACATAAGAGACAACATGAACACGGGGTTATATTATCGCCATCACAGTATTTCCCGGTTTGTGGGGATATTTTGCATGGTACTGCTTCAATAACCTATCGGCCTGAAGTTTTTCAGCCGATACCCACGAAGCATCCTCCAGGGGGTAGCCTTTCCATTTCACTAGGTACTTTAGTTTTCCTCTAGTTAGTTTTGAATCTAGGATTTCTATGATTTCGTAATGGGAACCCACCAACGGCCCAGGGCGGTCTGTAGAGTTGCGCATACTGCCTGCTGGCTTTAATAAACTACTATGAAAAACTGGATGGATCTTACCCAGTAACGATGGTAACTTAAGCTCAACAGTTACCGGGTTTATGATTTTTACAATAGTAAAGGGGCCGAGGTATTTCGGACCTAATTTTTTACTAGGTATTTGTAACTTCATGTATTTGGTGGACAAGTACACTTGGTCTCCTATGCGAAACGGTTGGTGGTCTTTTCGTTTTCTATCAGCGAACTCTTTATATTCTCCTGCCGCTTTTTGTAACGCTTCTTTAATCTTTGGCCACTGAACCCCAATACGGACTCCCCACTCCCTAGGAGACACCCCCTCCTGCATATCCGGCTCAAGTTCAGGGATTGCACTAAAGTCCCGCCCATATACGACTTGAAATGGAGTAGCCCCAGTACTGCGGTGTACTGCATTATTATAGGCTACCTCAGCCAGTGGTATGAGTTCCGACCAATCGGATTGTTGATATGATACGTAACAACGGAGATACCTCTCTATCATGGCGTTGGCCCTTTCTGCAGCTCCATTTGTACTAGGATGATAAGCGGAACTCAACCCTTGCGATGAACCTATCAACTTAACAAAGCCACGCCAAAACTGTGCCGTGAACTGTACACCCCTGTCTGAGATGATCCGTCGAGGTGTACCATGCAATCGGTATATATGCCGTACAAACATCAGAGCTAATCGTCTCGCACTCGGCAGGCCTTTACAGGGAATAAAGTGAGCCTGTTTAGAGAAGAGATCCACTACAGTCCATATAACTGTGTGGCCTTTACTATCAGGGAGGTCTACAATAAAATCCATTCCTACCTCTTCCCATGGTTTACTAGGCTTAGCGACCGGTTGTAAAAGACCAAGTGGCTTACCAGGTCTTGCCTTCGTTACAGCGCACACATGACACCCTTTCACGTATTTCTCCACCTCCTTACGCAGACGAGGCCACCAAAATTGCCGTCGCACGAGATGAAGAGT